TTATAATATATATAAAAGTTGTACGAATTAAGCGATCTCAATAATTAAGGGATTTATTGTTATCCTTTGAAGTATCGAGTTTGAACACTGATAAATACTATCTCGTATTCATACTAAATTTATATATATATATATAAAAGTTATAAAATATGGAGTGGCGTTGAATATGTGGAGACCCAAACAACCGAGTACAAATTGGTACCATTGTTCCGGACAAGACAACGAGTGTAATAAAATTGTAATTGACGTTCCGGATGGATGATTGCCACTGATATTGCACAAAGAAAATCAAATATTCAAATTCACTATTAGGCCTTTAACAGCACCAATCTAGAAAGGTTGGAATATCAATCTCCTTGAAAAGGCAATGTTTATTAGGTGCCTTTGTATTTTGGGCATTATTGACCTTTATGGCTAAGGTACCCATATGAATATTGCTCATATTTATCCCCCTCCCACGTCCATGTCCACGAACATATAGAATTGATCTTTTAACTTTCTTCGTAGAAACAAACCCGTCAAATACAAATAAAATTTCCAATTTCTTTGATTTCGTAGATAATTATAGGGTTGAGAGATAAATTTTTTATTAGAAATAATATTTTGGGTAAATTATGGTCATCAAAGTTTTGATTTTTTTAAGTTTATTCATTAAATTTTTAATTTGTACCTATTTTGGTCATTCAAATGTTAAATCACAAATACTATGGCTTCAATACCGAGTTTGAGCAAATTCACCTTCTCTTCCCCCAGATAAAAATTGTTCAAAAAAATGTATTAAATCATAAATGGAAGGGTAATATGATAGTCATGTATGGTGGTATAAAATATTTTTTTATTGACATGAAATTCATATGTCATCGACATTATTTTTCCTTCATTTCATTCTTTATTTTATCTTATTGTTTTAAATATAGAAGTTTTACAATTTCGCCCTTGTGTCACGTTGGCACGGTAATTATTATTCTCTATTGTCTTTTTCGATCACTCAAGATATTGACAAACTTCCCTCATTGTCTCATACCACTACATCAATTTAAATTTTACCTAAATCACTTTAAAACTCATAAAACTTAGTCCTACACTTAAAACTCATGAAGCCTCAAACCAATCTGGTCTATAATATTTATAATTCAATCAGTGTGAAATCAAGATATACAACTTGATTTTTCCTTCTCCATCTCTCTGTCGTTGAGATTTAGAAGAATATGCTTCATCATCAATAAATTAAAGGGATTTCAAAATTAGAAGGTTTTTACCAATTTTTTTTTTGAAAGTTTTGAGATCATTTTATAAATTTTAAAATAAAAATATTCAGTGATAATGTCACTGATGGCTAAGTGATGAAAATAAGAATATCGAAAGTTTTTTTTATATGAACACTAAGAAATGAATGTAGGGATGGGCATAGGTTGAGTTTTTGGTCCACCTGACTTGACTCAAAGACAAGGAGTCCTCCACTCGAGATCTGATCCGACCTGATGAAAACAAGTTTTCACCCCACCGACCTGAATCGATATATAATATAAAAATCTGACCCGAAATAAAAAAAATATTTTTATTCAATAAAACAATAACTTAATTGAAAAAAATAATATATAGAAATGTATTATTGTAATTATTCCTAAATATAAAATGTAAAATTATACATTTTTTCTGGTCATATATTTTTCACCTTAAATCTTAACCTAAACCGAAATTTTTTAAATAAATCCGACTTGATTAGGTTGAATCGGGTCAGAACCGTCGTGTCATTTCTGATAAACTCCTCGATGGACATGTGTGTTGGCTACCTGTCTATATCTATCAACTGTTACTAAACCTTTGTCTGTCAACTGCAATAGTATTTTTTAGGCCACCATTCATCCAATTTTTCATTTCGTAATCCGTATAGTGGTGTTAGTTTGGAATGTTTGGTTCAATTTGGTTACTATATTTAGTGATAATATAATGAAGCGCACGATTATCTATAGGAGAATGTGGGGGTATCAATTTGTATTTTTTAAAATTAAATTCAAATTTATTTATTTAAATTTAAAACTAAGATTAAATTATATATTTCTATCAACTGAGTTAAAATTCTTATATCGTATTACAAATTACACCAAAATTTCAGTATAATTTTATGATTCAAACATATAAATATATAACAAATTCTTTTGGATTTTGGATTTGTGTTATACGACTTCACATGAGTTTATTGGATCGGTATTAAATTATTGAGATTTGAAGGTATTTCTGTGAATTAACTTTGCCATATATGTTGGCTCTTTGAAATAATTAAAATGGAGTGGATAATTGATGACAGATCATTTGCTTGTTTATTGCTCAAGTATTCTATAATTCCTACTTGAACTTTTTTAGTCCCTAAGTTTATTAGTTTTATCAAATAATTAAAATAAATATACCTATGCAAATTGAAGTCGATGCAAATTTTATTTTCTTAAATACGATGATTATTTATAGTGTTTTGAGAAGATATTAAGACCATCAGACATCTTCGGTTGAAGACGCATGAAAAATCTGACATCTTCTTCAAATAAGTAAGGAGAAAATATTAGTAATCTTAGTGTCTTCCTAAAATATTGTAGTATTAACCTTATTTAGAAGAATACATTTTGCACCACCCCAAATGAATTTTTTTTTTTTTATCATTTTTCATTATCCTATGCAAGCAAAATTGCCATCGACGACCTTTCTTGCAGGCGGAAGGGGGACTCTGGGTGCAATACTGAAGGGTAAAACGTGGGGTCATAAAATGTAAATTGATTAGGGCAACAAGGTTTTAAATTCTTATAATGGTGCTTGGATGTTGGGTGGGAATTAACACTTGAATCCAGAATTTGAGATGGTATGACAACTGATAAGATGGATCGAGAAAAGGCTCGAGAATTTTTATCCGTTTTACTGACTCGTACACATGAATGAACAGAGCTTTTGTTCATTCATTGAACCGTTTTTCTTGCATGTTTGGTTTTCATCAAGTCCAAATTGAAATGCCTAAAAATGCATAGGTGATTTGAACTAATACCTTTTACCAAAACGTAAAGCCCTACTAGCTTCAGAGTTGACATATATCGTCGCTGTCATTTCATGCAAGCAAATTGGCTGGCATATGGGGACATGCACCTATCCGACAATGGCTTGCCCCTTGACTTGTGTAACATAAAATTACATACACGGTTAATATAATATTAAAAAAAATATTTTAGGATAAAATGAGTTATCATTAAAAATCTCATATAATATTATTGGTTGTAGTCGAAATTATTATTAATTATGCATCTTTTACATTATATAAAATAATATTTTAAATTAAAACCTGTCGTAATATAATTTATTCAGTTATAATAAAAGTTATTATCAATTATGTAACTTTGAAAGTAAACAAAATAATATTTTAAAATAAAATCCATCACAAATTAACTTTAGATTTCCCCTTCGAACAACAGAACTACCGGGAGACATCCTAGGTTTCCACAGTGAGAGATAAATGGGAGAGTCCAGCAAAGGTGGGGAGCACATTACTAGAGAAGTTGAGAATGTGAACATACGCTAACAGCTTATAACAACGGTGATCGGATTAATGGAGAGATCTATGGATGAGCCAAGCTTCCAATTTAAACAGTTAACAAGATAATTGTGAGTTTTTGAGGAGCATGTTTGCTTTATGTTTCTTTTCATTGTCTGTCTGCTCCTCTAAAGTGTATAAATTACATAAATGGGTGGGTTTTACTCACAAACCAGATGAACAAATTTGAGAGTGAACTTGGATAGAGATTGTCAAATTGTATCATAATCTATATTATAAAGCGGTGTTCTTAGGTTTGTTCCATTATTGAGATGTTTAGGAGAGTATGATTTGGAGATTTAGATACCAACATTGTTACTATAATCATCATACTTTCATTACCCAACCTGTTGTTCAAGACATATTTCATCCTTATGTCTATAGGCATAATATCAAAATTAGTCCCGACGTTTACTCGAATGATCACTTTTATTCTTATTTTTTAGAGCATTTTAGCTTCAAACGTTTTTCATTTTTGATCGAAATGACTTATATGAAAATTATTAGTTGATTAACGGTTAACACATGTTGCTGATGTGATATTTTCACGTATGTTTAATTATTAATATAATATTTTCACATATACTTAATTATTGATGTGACACATGATACGTCATCACCTTAAGTGATGTGGCATGTGTCATATAAATAATTTAACATATGTGAAAATATTACATCGGCATTGACCGTTAATTAACTAATAATTTCTATCTAGTATCAGTCATTTTGACAAAAAATGGGGCCAAAATAACAATTAAGACACAAGTTGCGGGTTAATTTTAACAATTTGCCATATACACATATAAATAAATAAAGGCTAGGATTGTTAAGGAAATAGGGTCCAAATTGCAGCAAATAAAAACAAAAAAGAGCTGAAAAAATCATTGAGTCTTGATCCTATAAAGAGAAGAGGGGGGAAGGGACATGATTATGATGTTAATGTTGTTGGTGTAATATACCCTGTTGTCCCCCTATATAGAGGGCCATGGATTTGATGCCTTTATTGTCACGTCTGTCGTACCCACAGCCATATCCTGTGTTTACCTCTACTGTTTCTGTTTCACCATTATCATCCTTTCTTTACGTACACTGTGTATTTGGAGAAATTTATTAGCACAAATAGTTGCATGCATTCGCCAGCTTTGTGTATTTCATGGACATTTGGAAATTATACTTTTCACAGAATTATCATGGTGATTTTAAAGTCAAACTGAATAAGATAAAATAATCATAAAAAGCGTGGCTCCATTCTCTCCAACGACTCCATTATCTGTAACCTTTTCCAGGCCCAGAAAAATTAGATAGGTTTTTTAGTGCACCTTTCGGTTGGGCCGAATAGATCCTTTCGAATTCAAGATTTGAAATAATTGCAAAACCAGGGGCAGTACGAATTACTAAATGTAGGAAAAAGTACACGAGGAACGACTAGTAAACAATTGAAATTGATTCTCGTAGAGGTGACTACTACCTACCATGTTCCAAAGTAACGGTTAGCTCATTCTGGGAAAATGTCTCCGGTTTGCTGGACGAAGAAGCTTTGCTAGAAGGGCATCGCCTGACCACGAATGCCGGTTGTTTTGGAGCTGGGACCGAAGCGTTTTCGCTGCCGAGCATGAAAAGTACCTGCGACATGGTGGGACGATCGTTGGGGTCTTCTTGTACGCACAGCAGCCCTACGTTCAGACAATTTAGGAGCTCGTCTGCTTTGCAACTCTCACGCAGTGTCTGGTCCAACAAGTCCATTGCCTTGTCTACTCTCCACATATGCCACGCCTGGGAACAATTGTACAACATACAGACAAAAAATTAAGTAGTTAATAAGTTAAAAGAGGGTTACTAAAATAGCACATACTAATATAACTTACATATCCTAGAAGGCTCAAAGATTTTTCAGGCTGATAAAATCCGGTGTTCCGTTTCCCACTCACGATCTCAATTACAACGACACCAAAGCTAAAGACGTCTGATTTGAATGAGAAAAGTCCGTCTAGTGCGTACTCGGGTGACATGTAGCCGCTGCATCATCGGAACTAAAGGTTCAAAGCTAGTTTATTATATAGTTGTACAATCACATTCAAGTAAAAGCAAAGCTTACTAGGTTCCCACTACTCTATTTGTGTTTGCTGAAGTTTCTTTGCCACCGAAGATCCTTGCCATCCCGAAATCGGAAATTTTCGGGTTCATCTCTTCATCCAGTAGAATGTTGCTAGTTTTTAGATCTCTGTGAATTATCCTCAGCCTTGAATCTTGGTGGAGATATAGAAGGCCTCGAGCGATTCCCAATATTATGCGGTATCGCATATCCCAGTCCAGCAGAATGCATAGATTCGGATCTTGTTAAGGTTTGTCATTTCCATTCAAGTACACATATTTTAGTGACTATTTAGTGATGGCCTATGAATTCATATATTTGAGAAGACACATTTAACTTACCAAATATGAAGGAGTCTAAGCTTTTGTTAGGCATATACTCATAGAGCAGCATCTTTTCATCTCCTGCAACACAATATCCTAATAGTCTAACAAGATTTCTATGTTGAAGTCTCGCAATCAGCACGACCTCGTTTTTGAATTCCTCCAAGCCTTGCCCTGAACCACTAGACAGCCTCTTCACGGCAATTTCTTGCCCTCCAGGAAACTTACCCTGGTGATATAGGTTACGGTTTCAAGCAATCGGTTTTAACCGAAAGAAACTAGAAAGATGGGATTCAAACAGTGGTAGAATAAGAGCATATGACCTTGTAAACAGGTCCGAATCCCCCTTGTCCAAGCTTGTTTGCGTTTGAGAAGTTCTTTGTTGCAGCTAGAATGCTTTCTAAATGAAAAAATGGTACCTCTATGCCACCTGTATCCTCTTCTTTAAGCCGTCCCGAATCGATCAGGTTTTTGACATGTCTCTCTCTGCCATACAAGTGAAGTGCAGAATTTCTTTGAATGCTTCCCCATATCCCTACATTTTAAATGAACTTACCTCCTTTGTTAACCAAATAGAATGATCCTTGAAACATCTGTAGAAAATTTTGTTGCTAATTACCTTCTCCCTTGGTCAGTTTCCTCCTCTTCAAGTAAACATAAACAATGGCGCTTGGCACGACAATTAGAACTACTATGCTAATGCAGGCTATCACGAGAATCAGAGATAAAGCCATCTTTCTAGTTGAAGACTTGTATCTCTTTTGTCCATAACCGTTATCTGCAGGAACAGAAAAGGGTCCTTTTATTAAATTTTAAACATGTAGACTTGAAACTTATATGTTTTGCTCGAGTAACGGTATCATTCTACCTTCAGTGCAATTTAGACTCGAGTTATCCCATCGGAAGTTTGTATTGCAGAGGCACCTTTTCTTCCTGTAGCTTGTTACATTACAAGTTGAATTTGGCCAATCTTTGCAATCTGTAGGTGAAGAGCAGGTTGGCTCCAATGGAGGATCCCAGCCTATCTCCACTTCATCGACAGTACATCTGCTAGTAACATGAAATGGAGATGGTTGCTTGAACTGAAAGAAATCATCACCCGAATTTCCTGCCTTGAAATCGTTTGCTTCGTTGGTTTGAATGATGAATTTTCGTGTTTCTGGATCTATGTTTGTCACTCTATAGGTTCCCCTGGGGACATCAAAGGTAACTTCACCTGAAGTGATGTTGCAGCGAAAACTGTAGTACATTGCATCACCGCATTTCGGTCCGGTACTAAGTGGATATGGAATCAGGTTTGTCCCACAAGTCTCGCAACTTCTGGTTGATTCTGCAGAAATAGAATGGATTTCAAATTCAGATAGAGGATAATCATAAAGAAAAATGTATTATTAACTTATAACGAATCATGAAATCAAGAAAATTTCAGAAGGAAGAGAATTGTACCTACATCAGAAACGGATAACCGGACATTAACATTACGGCCCCCTTGATACTCCTCCTGGATATTGTTCAGATCTTCCAACCATATCCAGCAAGCAGCAATGCTGCTACCACCTTGTTGCATAACATCAGGCTCTTCATAGGAATAAGCCTGGCATTGACAGTTGCTAAGACACTCGAATTTGCATTCCATTTCATTCTTCGCATTAAACTGAGAGTCTGGATTCCCGACTTCCATCATTTTCAAACTCAAGAACTTGTCGATCTTAGAATTCTTGTTGCATATCCTCGAGTTCCTGGTGCATCCATCAGAGTAATCCTGGTTATTCCAATTTGCAGGGGAGCTAGGTGAAAATCCTGGTAAACATTTACACATCAAGTCATTGTTAGTATTGCAGCTACCGAAATTTCCACACGCATTGTAGATACTGCATTTATCTCTAGGCTCTGCCCAAATTATGGACCAGATCTTATTAGAATCCCACTTGAAATACTGAATCTGTCCGGAGAAACCGATAATCATCCTTGTATCACTATATAACGATGACGTAAGATGAGGCATGGACTCGTTGTGGAGTACAACCGAGGTGAAATTCGACAAAAAGAAAGAAATTACCGATGGCATGGCCGAGGGCATACCATCGGGGCCGATGAATTTACCCGAAACACCACTTTTCCAATACCTTGTTGTTCTTTTCCAAATAATGAACTGATTTACCCTTTCTTGGTCTATCTCAAACGTGAAGTTCCCTGGAGCTGGATCATCCAAACTCTTCCATGATGTTAGTATCATGTCACCATCCATTTTCATGCCTGGAAGAAATGTATCAGTCGGGTTATCGAAACTTTGCCAGACAATGTTTTCTTCATGGATCAGCACCAGGTTCCCTGTATCACTCAGCTTGGCCTTTCTTGTTCCGCAAGGCACTGCTTCAATATTCGTCGACCAGAGAGATTTCCCATTTCGATCCAATACCTTGAGGTTTCCATCTTCTGCAACGACAAAGACTCCGCTATCATCGAAAAGCGGCTTGCCTCTATTGGCAACCCACACGACTGTTTGTGGATTTGAACCATAATACCATATCCCCAAGTATCTCCTGGTCTTAGGCTTGAAGCTTCCATTAGGAGTAAAAAATCCGAGTTCAAACTTTTTCCCTGGTGAAACCAAGCTTTCTCCTTCACCATCATTGATCGAAATGTTCACTGTGATGACATCTTTAGCAGAAGAACAACTGAAAAACAGCAAGAAAACAAATATAGAAGTCATTGGCTTTAAAAATCACTTGTGTTCTAACATGTTTATGCAGAGATTTTCATAATGTCTTGTGTATGGAAGAAGCAGCGTGGTGGTGATTTCCATTATCTAAAACTCCCCCACAAGAACAAGGGCAGTTAATACTGTGATTTAAAATATGGATTTTCCCTCGTGGAAAGGAAAAAAGTTTGACTTGGGGGGGTTACTCTTTTGCTTTTCCTGCACATAATCTTGGCAAAAAGAAAGCACCGCCAATGCTCTTTAACTGTTGCTCGTCGTATTGTGTGATTAAAGATTTGATTACTGATATCGCGGAACTCCATGAAGTTGCTGTTTTAAAATATTTCAGATTCATTTTATATTAAGATGAAAGCGACTCCCTTACACTATTTTTCAATGTTTTCGGCTTTTGTTTTAGAGACTGAAACCATCCCCGTCCCAAATGTGTGCCGGTCGCTTTCATCTAATGCCACCAACAAACCATCTCCCTCCTTATTTTCACTTAAATATTTTATATTCTTATTTAATATTTTTTCTTATTTTGATTTGACGTCTAAATTTTCGTTTTCGTTTTTTATTTTAATTATTTTTTAAATTATCATGTTTACATCATATGGCATTCATGATGATGCTGATATTACAACGACAGACATCATCATCTCGAAAGCCTAGTCTCCTATACTAATGATATTAGTACAGTTACTATACTAATGATAGAATTTGACACATGAAAAGGATCATCGGCCTTCGTCAAGAGATGCAGTGATTTCGGTATTATTATCCGCCTTACTAGACGTAGAAGCTGTGCTAGAAAGTGTTCTCGTCGTCAGAAAAGCTGGCTGCTTCGGAACCGGAAGGCTTGCAGTTTCGCTACCGAGCAAGACAACAACGTTGGACATGTTGGGGCGTTCGCCGGGATCTTCCTGCACGCATAACAGCCCGACGTGCAAGCACCTCAACACCTCACTCTCGTCGCAACTCGACCGCAACGTCTTGTCCGTTATATCCAACCCCTTGCCTTCTTGCCACAATCTCCATGCCTGCAGCATCATTTACAATTCCAATTCTAACACAAGAATACATGGCATGGTAGAATGAAACGTTCATCTCTACTTACATAAGCAATAAGGCTTGGTGTATTTTCCACATGATAAAACCTCACGTTCTTTTTCCCACTAATTATCTCGAGCATCACTACACCGAAGCTGAAAACATCCGATTTTACCGAGAAAACTCCTTCTAATGCGTATTCCGGCGCCATATATCCACTGCATTTTAAAACAATATTTAAGATTAGATCTGCAGATGGAAAAAGGAACTAATTTGTTCTGCTGCAATTAAGAAAAATTAGGAACTCACTATGTACCAATAACTCTTCCTGTGCTTCCTTCGGTTTGTTTTCCTTGGATCATCCGTGCAAGGCCGAAATCTGATATTTTCGGATTCATCTCTTCGTCTAGTAATATGTTACTAGTTTTCAAATCTCTGTGGATGATTCTCAGCCTAGAATCTTGGTGAAGATAAAGCAATCCTCTAGCGACTCCCAAAATGATGTTGAACCGTGTCCCCCAGTTCAATTGCAGGCTAAGTGTTTCGTCTTTAAAATTTGACATCGAAGACCATAACATGTATATCAGCTATATATTTGTGGTTTCTCTATGAGTCTGGATTGAATAAGACAAGGTTTCAATGACAAACCAAATATGAAAGAGTCTAAGCTCTTGTTGGGCATATATTCATACAGTAGAATCTTTTCCTCTCCTCGTATGCAGTAGCCTAATAGCCTCACAAGATTTCGGTGTTGAAGTTTAGCAATCAACACAACTTCGTTTTTGAATTCATCCGAGCCTGTCCGGAAACACTCGCCAGCCTCTTTATAGCAATTTCTTGACCTCCTGGAAACTTACCCTGGGATCATAGTCATTAGCATTTTGTAACTAAGAACAAATTATATGAACTTGTGAAATTCTGAAAAATGTACCTTGTAAACCGGCCCGAACCCTCCTTTTCCAAGTTTGTGTTCATCTGAGAAATTGTCTGTTGCAGCTACTATGCATTTGAAATCAAAGAAAGGTACGTCTATGCCTGTCCCGTCTTGTCCTTCAAAATGGCTCGACTCCATCAGCTCTTTAACACCTCTCTCGGTGTCGTACCGTTGAAGATGAGCTTTTCTTTGTTTTGCTGAAGTCAAAAGTGGATACAACAACCACCCTTTGTTAAAAACGGTCTGCACATGAAATACCATTTTCTTCCTCCACAAGTAAATGGGAGTTGGATATGGACAGTGTAAAAGATGCTCCAAAGTCCACACTTACCTCTCTTCTTTACCATTTTCTTCCTCCACGAGTAAATAGAAACAATGCTGCACAAAAAGACCAATGCAATTGGCAGAGATATTACAAGGATAAGAGGGAATCCCTGGCTTTTATTAAAAGACTCTTCTGATTGTTTGAGCACTGCAAGAAAACCAGCACAAAATAGGTCAAAAAAATGCCATGCCAAGAGTGCTTCAGAGGCTGGTGCTGTCAAATTAATCCTAACCTGGAGTACAGTTTAAAGCAGAGCCGTCCCAACGAAAGGTAGGGTCACACCGACACCTTTTTTGTCCGTTTCTTGTTTCATTGCAAGTCGAAAACGGCCAATCCTTGCAATCAGCAGATGAATCACAGATTGGCTCTAATGGTGGCTTCCAACTAATTTCTACTTCAATCGTACCATTCATTGGAGAATCGCTAGTGAAGTTTCCAACATCACTGCTGCAACTGCTGGTCACATTGAATGGAGATGATGGATTGAGCTGCAGAATTTTGCTTCCTGATGACTGCATAGCATTACAATCAATTGCTTCTGCAGATTGTATTTTGATAACAAATATGCGTGCCTCGGGGTCGACATTGGTTACAGTGTAGCTGCCACCGGGTGTCCTAAAGCTTAGTTGGTATGAACCATCATTACAGTCGAAGCTGCGATACATAGGATCACCGCAACTTGAATCAGTGCTTAGGGGATAAGGGACCAAGTTTGTTCCACAAGTTCTACAACTTCTAAACGTTGATTCTGCAAAGTAGAATAGATATAGTTAAATCAAGCTTTTACTTCTGAGCTGATGATAATTGTTCCTGCAAGAGGTCACAACTCTATGAATGCTGCAATTTGCAACATCAGATTGAAGAGGAACAACAATATGCCTTTTTTTCTGCATTTGTTAAAATAGTATGCAGATTGTCTATAGAATCCGCTCTAAATTAGCCAACAAAAAAGAAGTATTGATCTATGGTAAAAGTGAAGAGCAAAGTACCTAAATCAGACAGTAGCAAACGGACATAGATATCGTAGCCATCAACTTGATCGTCCTGAATATTTTTGAGTTCATCAGTCCATATTAAACATGAAAGTTGCCTGTTGTTACTGGAATTTACTGAATATGCCTGGCACTGGCTGTTACTGAGGCATTCGGCCTCACAGGCTTTTCCATCATCAACACCGAATGGTGATTCTGGATATTCCAATTTCATCCTTTTCAACCTTAAGAAGTAATCCCCGTGTGATGCAGAGTTTCTGGAGCAACCTTCCTCGAATTCTCCAGCATTCCATTTCTCTGCGAGTCTAGGTTTGAAACCAGGCAAACATTTGCATGGTAACTTGTTGTTGACGTTACAGGTGCCAAAGTTTCCACAGTAATTGTACTTACTGCATCTATCTCTTGGCTCCCACCATATCAATGACCTGTTTTTCATCTCTGAACCGAGCTTCCAGAACTGCAAATCTCCAGTGAAATTCATCACCAGGCTTTCATTTATGTGAACTCCTGAGTTATCCCCACTAAAATTCAAGTTGTTGAGTAATTCAAAGATTTCACCTGACCCCCGCCATGATCTCCAGTAAGTGATACTCTTGTTCATGACAACCAGTCGAGTTGCTTGCAAATCTTGTTTGAACGTAAAGTTTCCAGGTGCAGGATCTTCTTCACTGGTCCATGAAGTTAAAACTAAATTCTCATCCATCTTCATACCGACAAGAAATGTATCCGTTGGACAGTCAAAGCTCTGCCATAGGTTTATCCCTAACCCATCACTATCGTACATAATTAAGTTACCAGTATCATTGAGCTTCGCCACCAGCAAACCGAGGTTCGTACGTTTTAACCGGAGCTTCGTACACCAATAAATGTTCCTTTGCTCATCAGATATCCGGATGTTACCACCCGCAATATGTAGAATTCCAGTTTTATCTGGAAGTGGCTGTTTTCTATTAGCAACCCACACAACTGTTTGTGGAGTGGAGGTGTACCATATCCCGACATATCTCTTCACGTTAGAGCTTCCTGATGGGCCAAAGAACCCCAATTCATATCGATTTCCAGCTGAAACAATAGTTTGTCCATCAGCTACACTAAAATTTACTGTTATAGTATCTCTAGCAAAGCGGCCACAAAGAGAAGATAATATCAAAAGTGTATAGCAGGACAAGATGGTAGAGAGGAAATGAAGTACTATTGACCACCTCCCAGTTCTCCTGTAGAACATAACTTCTTTCCTATTCCCTGCTGCTACTTGTTATCTAGATCGAATTCGACTGCAGATTTTGATTTCCCAGCTCTACAGGGAATTGCTTTCAGAAATGAAGTTGCTGGTGTTTTTTCCAGAGTTTGTTTTATCTAAGCAGTTTTTTAAAATGGGATTAAATTAGTAACAATAATGATGAAGTGTTGGATGAATTTTGTATGATCATAAGAACTTATCCCCTCATTTTCCTTGGCTGTTCAACCAGTGTCTCGATATTGACAGTACATCTTTTCTATTTTGTCGGCAGCGACCAAGAAAACAAAAGAGTCCCTGTAAAAGAGTTACACCGGAACCTTTTGTCGTGATCGAAAACCAGGCAGCGATTCATAAAAGGAACTGGCTTATGGTTTAAAGTTTAAGCATAGCATTAAAATACGAAACCATCAACATAGAGACATTGGCCATTTAAAAATTTGTATCTATTCAGAATTTTAAAGTGAAAAAATAATTAAATCGATATTAACATAAAATAATACATGCACAAGAAGTAAAATTTAACGTGATTCAATCTTGTCTATCACCTCGGATGAGAAGAATAAATAATCTATTATAAATATAGAAATCACCAAATATACAAATACATGATATACTATGTGTCCTAAAATTCGATATATATACCAAAACTCAGAGTATCCCAAATTCTTCTCTCAATAACTTAACAAAATTCACTTTTGTAACATAAACCCCAAAGTTGTAGACTATAAAAAGATTATATCTCTTCAAAATAATTTCCTCATATGAATTCTCAAAGGCAATGATTTTTGGACTGTTCATATTGGTTCTTCTTTCAGCTGGAGCCTTAAGCGTATATTCAAACTTCGAACTGTGGCTTATCCCATTCTTACTGCTAGAACAGAAAAGAGTTCTGATATATGGGATGCTTTGTTTGATAAAAAACCTCAAGTTCCATGGCAAAAAAAATATCTGGTTCCCTCTTCACGTTCCTAAATTTAGTTTAATCACTTGGATGGCTTTACTTGATCGATTACCAACTAGAGATAGGATCTTCCATATGAGTATTATTAGTGACCGTAAATGCCTTCTCTGTGACGATCCTTGTTAAACAAGGGAGCATTTGTTCTTCTACTGCCCAATGGCTAACCAACTTTGGTATGTTGTTTTCTCCTCCTCTGGTATGCCATTCAATATTTATTCTTGGGAAGATCTTATCATGTGGGCAAGCACAAACTGGAAAGGAAAATCCCTTCAAACTTAGATAATGAAACTTGCATTAACAGCTCTTATCTATACTCTTTGAGACGCGCAACAAATGACTATTTCAAGATCGATCCAAAAACTTACAAGAACTATTTCTTAACATTAAGAATACTGTTAGAATTCAATTGAGCGATAGGAATATTAATAGGAATGATATTGTTAACATTACTCTATGTGAGCATTGGGGTATTGAATGATCTGATTCTTTTGTATAGGCTGATCATTGCTTCTGTCCTCTGATGATTTTGTATTTGTTACTGTTCTTGGATAATAAAATAACGATTTATCCAAAAAATATCACCAAGTACCCATCTTTAACAAATATAATTACAATAAAATTCAATTTAATTTTGAATGAAATTTTGAGTTAATATCTAATAATATCATTAATGCCTAAGATTTAAACAAAAAAAAATGGAATTGGTAATGACCTCACCTCAACGGGTTTTAATTAAGGAATGAATCCACCCAGTACCCATAGCCATTAGAAAATTTCAATTAGTAACGTCCCACCTTACATAATCTATTTATTTAAGTTCTTATGTAATTATTGATTTAAATTTTGAATCAGTATGCCAATTACATATAAATGTTAGTATCATATCAAGCTGTAATGGCATGAAGCATTCTTGGACTATTCATGCGCCAATGAAGTTCGAGGATTCTCGAAAGAGTAGATTTTTTCATAATTTATACGACTTATTTAAGGATCAAAGATAAAAGTAAATACCAACGAAGGTTGGCCTGAGTGGAAGGGGCTCTGGTCGCTTAAGCAAGTGGTTTCAAGTTCGAGTCCTTGTGGATACAGAAAATCTTCTTGGGAGAGATCCCCACCTTTCGTGCCCGACAATACCTCGGAGGATTAGTCTCAGGCGAAGCCTGGAGACACCTTGGGATACCAAAATAAAAAATAAAAGTAAATTATTAGTTTTAAAAATTTTAATATTAACTTTCATCTTAAAACTTGAAATATTAGTCTTCTACTAATTCTATTTAATTTGAATCGAGAGGATGAGAATGTTAATGCAAACCAATCTTGATTTAGTATTAACAATCACTTAAATTTTCTATTTACAAAATTTACTATTTTCTAAAGAGATATTTTATTATTTTCTTAAGATATTATTTTCATCACACCCTTTGGAAAACAGAAAAATAGCCAAAACCAATCGTATTATTATGGTGCTAAAAATCGCATCAAGCGATTAATTTGGTAAAATATTAAATAAGCTTGGTTAACGCAATTGATTGCCGTCCACTCCAGTCCGCAAAAATGAAAATATCGCCGACATTGCGGGACCCGAATAATATCCCCAAAATCATTTGCCCACCACGTGGATAAACCTCAGCTCTGCTTCTGATAAATGCCAGCTAAGCGAATCTGAATATCGACTCCCAACCGACACGTCACCGTCTAACCCAAGCTGCTTTTAAACTAAAGTAAACTACACAAGATGTCGTTTTATAGAGTATTTTAATTATTAAAAATTATAAAATAATTATTTATATATTTATATATCTTAAATTTATTATTTTAATAAAAAAATGATAACTGTTGAAATTAGATTTTAACTTATTAATTGAGAAATAATAAAATTTTATTTTAATGATATTTACGATATTATTGTTTCTTTTAAACACTGGCTTGCATTAACTCGAATGTATAATATAAACGAATATTAGATCCACAAAATATAACTCAAACGGTTTAAAAATTAGATTTTAGCATGTTTTAATTAGTAATTAAAGTCTAACTCAAATAATCGTAAATTTTTTAATTAAAAAAGACAAATTTAGGCATATTAACAATCGAATAGACATTGTATAATTTTTAATAATTATAGAATTAAATCAAATAACAACTTATAATCAAGGTATTATATGTATACTTTAAACGTTAAAATATATAAAATGAAAAAGAAAACAAACTCGATTTCAAGCAAATGCAACTGATTTCCAACACATTGCACCACACAAGATCTTGTTCTCTTACGTCGCGACACCTGGCAGTACGTTGCACCACACCCTTCGCCTTTCCACTCCCTCTTCACACAAAAAACCCTAGACTCCCACAGACCAAATTTTCTTCTCCTCCGTACCTTTTACTAATTTTCAATTTTATCCCCCTTTCTTTTTCGTCTTGATATAAATCAAATTTCGTCGTTCAAGTTTATTCATAAGTTGAAGTGAATGATAATTCGAAATAGGAACTGGGGGGTGAAAAGGTATTTTCTAGAAGAATACATCTATATATAATTTAAATAAGGAAAGTATAATAAATCAAGTAAAAATATCATGCGAGTAGTGGTTGGTTAATTGCGAATTGCAAAGGCAAACCCGTAATTTAAAGCAAAAGGCAAGGCTGTTCCTATAAGCCACTGCAAGTTGTTTGGTTCTTTTTCTTCTCTCTGAATCGCTCATTCTCTGTAATACACGAGAGAGAAAATCAGAAACGTAAGAATTCTGTCGAGAAAACGTAAGGAGGAGAAACTCGCTGGTGGATCGAGGGGAAATATATCTGTGTTTTGGTTTAAATGAGGAAGGAGATGAAGAGTTGTGAGCTCTGTAAGTTGGCGGCGACCACGTATTGTGAATCGGACCAAGCCAGTTTGTGCTGGGGTTGCGACGCTTTAGTCCACGGAGCCAACTTCCTGGTGGCGAGACACGTGAGGTGTCTTCTATGTCACGGTTGCCAATCTCCGACTCCGTGGAGAGCCACTGGTTCCAAGCTCGGTCACACGGTCTCCGTCTGTGAGAGGTGCGTTAACGGCGGCGATCGAGAAGAGAGCGAAGCGGAAAATGACGGTGACGGCGGTATCAACGACGACGATGGAGATGATTCCGATGATGACGTCTCAGTTGAAAATGATGTGGAGGACGGAGATAATCAGGTGGTGCCGTGGTCATCAGCAGTAGCGGATACACCTCCTCCGGCGTCCAGTTCTTCTAGTAGCGTAGATTATTCCGCTGGTGAAAGAGAAGTCTCTAGATCAACGAATTTGTTCTCGTTGAAAAGGTCGAGAGGAAATGCTTCAGATCTTCACCCACAGGTTTGTTTTCTCTATTGACCTTTGTTCAGTTTTAGACTCTTTTCGTTATTCTTTCTCCTTCAGATCGTTTAATCTCTTCCGTGAAATCAAAAGTTAATAATTCTTTTAAAAAATATTCTTAAACAGGACGATCCAGATCGTTTATCTCCTAAACGGAGGTACGGTTTACAGAAAAGAGGATGAATCCGTTTCGGTTGACTCCAGGTGATCAAATAAACAACAGATCAAACCGGTGCAATTCAGTCCGAGAAGCACGATTGAGTAGAGAGAGTCATTAGGAGGAAAAAAAAAAGTAAAGTGTACGAGAAAATCCAGTAAAAAAATCTTAAAAAATCGTTAGTAATTGTAATCTCTTAGCCGTCCGATTTGAGTTGATTTGCCTGCTATTTCTCATCGTCTTTAACCTACTCTAACAATAGTCATTGATAGGAATGTTGAGACCCCTGTAGGCCTGTAGTTTGGGTTTATTTGTACTAATAATCCAAAAAAATTCAAGAGTGCTAATTACTGCAAAAACAAAGTGTGATCTTTTGTTCTGATACTTTTCCAGATTAATGTTGTTTCTTTAGCAGCCTTAAGGATGTGTAGCAAGTGGAGGAGCAGATAGAGGGTCTGTGTCCTTGATTCTTTGAACGACATCCGCTAATAAAGCTGGCTGGCCATTCAGGCTATCCATCGTTTCACCAGCCCTATGGACGTCAGAATTTTGTCTGTGAAATGCCATGGACAATCACAAGGCACGTATACCAATTTGATTTTTTTTGGTTCTAAAATGTATTTTTGAGGATAGACAGGATTGTGCATGTCCATCACTTGTAATGCATATTCTTCTACTAAAACAAGCAAGTTGGGGAATGAGTGTGGTGCATGTATTTGTGTATTGCCTAATATGTAAACAAACATTTCATTTTATGTCTACATATGTCTTTGAGTGTTTTCTCTTAGCCAAGTTGAGGCACCACCTAGTGTGTGGGCCATTTTGCGACAGAACTTTGGTCATCGGCTTGATCCCTTCGGGTGGCCGATTGTCCCACTGCAGTTAGCCATCCCAAACTCGACTGTGTATCCATTTGTCAAAGATTTCCAATAACAATGCTCTTCCAGATTTCTTTTAATCTTTTATACCTTTGAAACAAATCGTGCAGGATAAAAGCATTCATGTCTCTATCCATCATTCTATTTCTATATGTAATTTTTTGGTTTGGTAGGGTAAGTTCATAAATAAATAAATAAATTATATATTATATGAAAGTATTTTTCAATTCGATAAAAGACTGGTTTAAACCATGAAGACTATTGGTAATAATATATTCTTAGCATCTTAAACACTACTATTAGTTTTATTAATTGTCCATAAATACATGTTTAATCTAATGATAAAACATGAGATTACAAAATAGATGAGAAATATAAACAAAATATTAAATTTCACTGTAGGGGAATTTTCTTTCTCTATTTTTTGTTGGCACGAGTTTTGTAATGCTTTAAAGTCACTTGATTCAAACATGTGACTGGAAGAAGATATTTGATGTTTGTTTAATAATTTCTAAGCAAAATATCTGGGAAGCTGATTGTCCGGCACCAGTCAGAATTGAATGCAATAAATAAATGGACTTGTATCCTTTTTTTTTCTTTTGGTGCACAGTTGAGATGACGGCCGGCCATCAACATCAGATGGTGGAAGCATATGAGGCTTCAAGCTCATTTAATTTCCCATTTACCAATTTCAATAATGCAAATGGTATATCATGATTGGAATCATCAACCCACATAAAATATAGTAAAAAAATCATGATCCTCAAACAGAAATTGTGGTTCAAAGGAGCTTGTTATTTCTAACCAGCCATTTGGATTAATTAAATACATTTGTAAATTGATTATTCAGCTTAGCATTTAGAAAATATAATTGAAACTGCTAGGGTCCAGTGTAGGGGCGAATCACTTGGGTGAAAAGACAGAGGATCGAGTGGTGGAGATTTGCCGTGGGGTGTGGAGATTTGTGGTGGTAATTGGGCGCCACTTAAAAAATCTCGGCAACAACCGTCGTAGATATAATGAGGATGTTTCATTGATCTTAGGATTCTGATGCTGACCATGACGTCACCATCATGGACAACGACATGAACAATACATATCATATATATGTGTCTTTTCAGGGTTGTCCAATTCACCGGTTGACTGTCGTTGTGGGTTTTGAGTGATGGGCGTTGCCTTGTATTTCACGTTTCAATCTTAGGCCATTCACTCGGTGAGGGCAGCTGTACAACTCAACTTTGTATACTATTATAAAACTCCACCAGGTTCAATGATAATACATTTGTTGTAACCTTTTAAGCCTGGATTTTATAGATAAAAAAGAAACGGTAAATTTATCAAAATAATAACTTTTTCAATACTTTTCTTATCAACATAACATTTAAATAATTTTTTTATCGAAATAGTATCCTTTTAATAAAGATACACTTGTGTGGAAGTATCTTTACTATCGTAACAAGTTATTCAGGTGTCTAAGATACATAATCATGCATGCACAAGCCGACATCAACACATGTGCATAGCAGCATAGGTCCTGTCTTCAATCATTCAAAGAGTATATGTTTAGAAGACTATTTAAACAAAATTCGTACATAAACAATGTGACATTTGAAAATATCAATTTGTAAATTTTGAATTGTCAAAGACAATTCTTTAACTCGATCAAACTTGTATCAATACGCCAGTTAAAGATAATTTTGAATACTGAGATCTTGAGTATACAAGGAAACAATAGTCAAATTAAGCTTAAGAACTAGTTTTGACAAATCAAAACCAATAAAATTTTACCACGATATTCTCGAATCTCACATTATTTATATAAGTTTTTTAAGGTGTTTAAATATAATCTTCTAAACATGCACTTATTAAATAATTGAAGATAAGATTTATACATACATGTCATCGTCGGTGTTCAACTAGTTCGTGCTTGTGCACATGCAATTATATATTTTAGGCCCATACCCCATGTGATATTTATTTTTAAATATAATTTATATAATTTTTAACTTAATGTTTTCATTTCTTTTCATTTTGATCATGAATGACATCATAATTAAAACTAATATAATCTGTCACATAAGTAGAATCGCTTCCTTTAAAACATAGATTTCAAAAGGCATTTCTATGTAAGCATACCTTTGCAAAAAGAGAGTCGTTTAAATAAAAAATGTTGTTTAGGTACTATTTTAGTAAAAAAAATATTTAAAAATGTGTTATTTTGATAAAATTACCAATAGAAACGTTAAGAATATTTGGCCTTAAGACGATATTTGGTTGTATGCATGAATGCTGCTAGCATTGTAGGGACCGTCAATTAGGCACTAAAAATATACGGTGCATACCTGCCTTATCTTCACCTATCTTTCGGCGTGCTATCTTGTATGCTTTTAGTCTTTTTACATATCAATCTTGTCCTGCATTTATGTCGCTTTTCGGTCCAAATTTGGCAAATAGACCCCATCTGACAAGGCGAACACAAATAGCTTTCCTAAGCGTGCATCAATAATGCCCGACTTTTAGTGACATGAACTAGCCATGGTGTTCCATCAAGTCTTTTACCTAATTCTTCAAACGATTCCTGTCTTTGATGCTACTAATATAATGCCTGCGCTCTCAAACCTTGACTAAAATGTCCAACAGCGGGATTTCTTTGGTGGCTATATGTTGATAAAGTTGCTCCGGCTACTTTATTAGGCCACCTGTTACATGAACAATGACATGCACATTCTCAAGAGAAACTGCAATCAACGAGGGTGAAATGTGATATTTGATCTGTAAACAGAGTAGCAGGTAAAATGGATATAATGGCCGATATACCGGTCATAAAGAAGTTGGGTGAAAAAGGGTCTTAACATACTGTTGAACAATAATTTATTGGGGACTGATTCTACTTTCAGTAAAATTACATCCCATGAGAGAGTTTAAGAATATTGAGATATAGTTTGTTGAAGAAATTCGAGGCATACTGCTTTAGTGATGAAATAAGCTTCGAAGGTCGAAATTATGCGAACATCATAATTCATAGGATCTACAAAAGTCTATGAAAGGTTCACTGGTTTACCGCAAAGTTGCTCCAACTCACTTTCCAAGAGTTTCAACAAATTTGCTTTAGTTCGTCGATAAACCCAAGCTTGAACATTACGATCCCAATCAAATCTGGATGGACCACTGCACAGAAAACATTACATCAAAGATAAAAAAGACAATTCGTGAAAGCTGACAAGAAACATGATTATCACTAAGAAACACAGAAGCACCCATGTAAGCTCAAGAAAAGAAGAAATGCCACCAGTGGTAAAATATCTTTGTTTTCCTCCAAATTGGTGGGACTTGATTCCCTACAATTCCTAGGCCTCATTCTTTATTTAGAGAAACAGTGGCATGCAAGAAGGTTCAAACATTTTTCTGGCCTTGTGGTGGCCGGTGGCCACTCTATAGGGAAGACGACAAAAAGGCAATGGCAACTGAAGATGACAAATAAATATTGAAAATTAACAAAACTGAGCTTTTAACCAGTCACTCTTTAAAGGGTAAAGAGCGGTATGGTTTTAAGTTCAAAATGGCATGTTATATATATTATGTGGATGTTCATGAAGAGTGCTGATTTAGGCCACTAAAATGTTCTACGTTTCTGTTTGTCTTACTTGAAGAGAGTACACAGTTATAGTTCGAAAATTTTAAGCAAACACCTTTTGAAATTAATAACACAGGCCTCTTCAGAAGGCATCGATATCGATTTTAGTTGTATCAATGATTTAGGGGCTACAACCCAACTATTTCATCACTTTTACTGATACATGTTCAAAACACAATCAAGTTCATGACCTGATAATTTTTCATTGTATCTTACATGAAAAGTTCCAAAACATAATAACATTATTCCGACAACTAACCCAACCCTTTCCCGTCTAGGCATCTACGTCTGAAGTCTTGGGCCGACCAAATTAGTAGCCACGTGAAAATTACATCCCAACTCTTTGGGCCAGAGCAGTATGGTTTGAAGTTCAAAATGACTAGTGTATATGTGTGAATTGATTAACTGATACAGATGTGCATGAGGAATGTTGGTTTAGATCACTAAATCGCTCTACATTTTTGTTTATTTTTCTTGAAGGGGGTACACACTTTTAGATTGAAACATTTAAGCAAACACCCTTGGAAATAACTAACAAAGGCCTCGTCATAAAGCGACAAAATCACGAAACATATTTTTCGTTGTACAGCTCACTTTTTTTACAAATATATACCCATCAACAATCTGGAAGATTAGGACTCAGCTAGTTCATAACACCTCTTCATTAGCATAAAAATCATGTAATCTAGTTTTAGTTGTACAGCTGACTCTTTTTTATAAATATATACCCATCAATGATCAGGAAGATTAGGACTCAGCTAGTTCATCACATTTATTCATACAATGACCATTCAAAGCTCAACCAGGTCCAAAATCTGATCATTCTTCGTTCCATTTTAAAAAGTAACAGCCAGCTGAAATCTTTTACACGAAGAGTTTCAAAACATAATAACATTCTCAAGACCAAATAATACAGAAGAAAAAAGCACCTTCAATGAGAATCAATCATGTCCAGCTCAAGGAGAGCCAAATATAAAGAAAACAGCACCTTCGATTCCAAAGAAGACAATGCTAAATCTAAGATTCTCAAGACCAAATTATACAGAAGAATAAGAAACAATTATACCTTATAGGAGACGATAACCAAATTTGCCGATTAGGGGTCTGCTTATTCATCACATAGGTGCCCAAACCCCCGAGTTTTAGTGTCAACACTTCATTCTACTAAATCCAAGCAATGTGTTAACTACCATAAAGAAGCCAAGTGATCTCTAAAGCCGATAAACAAGTTTTAAAACTTACCCCATAGTCTACATCGAAACCATCAAGTTCAACAACATCACCATATTCCTGCCACACACCCAAAACTATTTTTTAAAAAAAGAAGAATAAAAAAATGTTAATTTAAGGTTGTTACCTCTAATTTTTCTTGAAGGTCATGGATTGTAGAATTAGCTAATCCATGAAATTCATCTTCCGATAGAACCAAACTGTTTCCACAGTGATGATTGGACAAAAGAAAAAAAGGGTCATACTAAAAATGTTTTCTTAATCAAAATTATTAATGGGAAACCCGAAAGATTGAATATTTACCGGTAATCAATGGGTGCAGGTCCTTGAGAATCCTGGGGGAGATTAAGAGGGCCAGAGCAAATGCTTCTAGAAGAAGCGAATAACCGAGGAGAAACATTAGGCGTCGAAGCTTGTGGAAGAAGAAAACCCATAGCAAGTGGATGGCGCAAAGAGCGGAGGGGTGTCGAAGGCGGAGCTTTGAGAAGTTTAGAGATTCTCCTGAGAAAGGGTAGCCTGGAAGCCATTGTCGATCAGACTCTGCAAATCGCTAGTCCAGAAGAGTAAAGACTGAAATGCTAGGTGGGCTTTCCATCGTGCAATTTCCCCTTTTCTGGGCCGTTCTCGGTAGATGAAATAATTCAATCAATTTGGTTACTCTACGTTTTTGATTGTTAGTTGATGGATCACAAGTTTCAGCCCGAAGATTGATTATTTGATTAGGCTTTTGCCAGTCAAGTTTTAATTGGTATTGTTGCTGTTATAATATATATAAAGATTAAAATTTTAGAATAAATTATTGTGGATTGAGTTTAGTTGTCCTCTCTATCAACATCAGTGGTGAACAAAACTCGATTTAATTTAAAAAATCGATATTTTTGACTCAATTCTATTTAAAAAATCCGACTCGAATTGACTCAATTTGATTTTTTTTTAAATTTAAATCGAGTTATAAAATAAAACTCGAATAACTCGAAATTTATAACAATTATTGGATTGATTTTCAATTTTGAGTTGAGTCTCTAAACTTTATTTGATTTGGTTTTTTAGTTGAGTCAAGTTGTTGAAGTTTATATTTAAATTTAATTGTAAATATTTATAATATTATGATACTATTTATTCCAATTTAAATAATTTCTATAACCATATATAATGCATATATATATATATATATATATATATATATATATATATATATATATATATATATATATATATATATATATATATATATATATATATATATAAAAGATAAAAGTTAATTTTTTAAAATTAATAAAACATTTAAAAATCTGTTAACTTTATTTATAAAATTTAAATAGCTTTTCTATATTCCAAAGGAATGACTCAATGGCCTCTAAACTATTTTAGATGGAAATTACCAGACTTGTGCCATCCCTCGTTGGCATAATTACGTCCTTAATTGTATCACAATCTTTTACATTTTTTTTATTAATTATTAGATTTCATAAAATTTTGTAAGAAATATGAGATAAAGGACACATGTAAGATGGTTGCATGAAAAAAAATGTTCCACTTGGAAGATGTAATTAATGGCTAAGATGAGTCATTTCCACTTCAAACAAATGTTGCCATCGAAAGCGAAGGTTGGAGGAGATACCATAAATATGAAGACCTAACCCTACACAAACACGGCACTCTGCATTTAATGTCTTTGCCAATCTTCCTCATTTTTAATCTTTTTAACTCACGTCTCAACCTTATCAACTTTCCAATTATACAACCAACTATAAATTTTAATTTAATTTTTATACGGTCCGAATGATTATAATATATTATACGTTCAAAATCTTTTTCAATCATTAATAATACATACGCATCCTATAACTATTCGAACCCGAAATCTAAAAAATAACTAATAAAATATTTAGGGTGCGTTTGGTTCACGGAATGTAAGATTACCAGTGGGAATAAAAGATTACCAGTGGGAATAAAAGATTACCAGAGAATAGGATTACTGGAAATGTTGTATTTTGTGTTTGGTTGGTTTAGCAGGAATGTAATATCATCGTGTTTGGTTAAAGGAATAAAAGATTATTGAAATGTATATTTGACCAAATTGTCCTTATTATATATTTGTTTTTTTAACAAGTTGAAAAATATTTATATATTTTCTTTAAAAAATTTAAATTCATAAAATTTATATAATTTTTTTACAAAATTGAAAATATAAAAAGGTTTAATGAAAGAATAAAAATTTTATTTTACTCTTGAACTTCATATAAAATTTTAATTATAGATTTTTTTTGTAAATCTAAAATAGTTTAAGGATAAATTTTTAATTTAACATTCGTATAATTTTTATTATTCAATGATAGAATAAGAATATTTTTTTAAGAAAACAAAATTAAGGGTATTTTAGTCCAAAACGCCGGTAATCCAACAATACCTAAAGAAAGGGCGGTAATGACATTTCCGGTAATATACCAAAAAAATCTACTATTTGTAATGTAAGATTACCGGGAATGACATTCCCAGCCAACCAAACGGGGAATGTGGATTTCATTCCCCATGAGAATCTCATATTCCCCCAATCAAGCACACCCTTAACTAGTTTTAGCTGAGAATCATTGAATGTTGGTAGTCGATATTGGAAACACAAAATAAAAAAAAAATGAAATTATAATTGTTTTTCACTTAATAAAATATGAATCGACAGAATGTTCCATAAACTATCGAATAATATTTATTTATATTCGTTTATTTATGTACATGTACGTAAAGAATAGATGTACTTAGGAACATAAACTATGTTTGGTTGTGGATAGTTGCTTTATCTGCAGTATTCGCACCTGCAGATGGACGATGAGTGTTTAAAGTATGTTTGCTTAACCTTACGCCGTTCATTCGAAGGAAACAATTAACAAAAACTATTCATGGTTTTTACAAATTTATAGCTAACAAATACGAAAATGTAGTAGACAGGAACCAACGTGCTTGTTATTTATTGTGTTCTCTTTTTCCATCTTTATAGCTGAAGCAAGCAGCCTCACACGTTTTTAAGAGGGGGGGAGGGATACTAAAAGTCCTTTGCTTGATCTAATCTGGCTATTGAGAGGTAAGATTGTTTTCTTATTTTCTTCCTTTTTTGGTTAATGTTTCCTTTGTTTGCAATCTTTGTGCTTTCTTTCAAGATGAATAGATTAATGGGTCTTTCTTCTTCTTTTGTTTCATGCTATTTAGGTGGTTTTCCTTCTTGGAGTTCGTGCTATATATATGGGGATCTTTGTTGTTCTGAATCACCTGCCATTCTTCTTTTTTTTCTTCTGGTTTCATGTTTGCTTAGAATGAAGGCTAACGAATGATGGGATTAAATTATTCTGATTTTCTTTGGATTAGTTTCCATTGGCACTTTCGTTTTGAACCTAAAAGGTAGCTGATTGGCGTTGTGTTTCATATGTTGACCATTGGTTGATTTCATTATCTCTTTCCTTTATCTGGAGATTTTGTTCTTGTTCTATAATTGACGTTTTTGAGGATGTTTGAATGCCTTTTGTTTCTCTTCCAATTCTTTTAACAAAGAACCATTGCAATCCGATCGTCTATTCCGTTTTGATTGTTGCTTTTCGATTTAGAGACTAACAATATGCAGTTTTCATGTTTTATTCACTTGGCTTAGACTATTCTGCTTCAATATCTAGTTTGCATATTGTGTGATCCTTTTATTTTCTCTCTCTTATTGTCAGGCAGGTAGGTGTCTCTTATGCTTTTTAGGGATTCGGTTTTCCTAGTTGTAAAAGACTCTCCTTCACTCTGGCCGCTGCAACGAAACTGAAATTTTCTCGCACCTCAAGGTGGGTGTGGGGGGACAAGAAAGAGCTGATTCTGCTTTGTGTTTTAAGGAGATCAAGATCAAGCCATATCTGGAGACTGCGACGGGTTTCAGAGGGTCTTTCGCTTGATTATGGCTAATGTCGGTATTTGCTAAAATACCTTGAAGTTGATTGAAGCTTGTCATTTTTTTATGTTTGTAGAATTAGGTGTTTTCCTCCAGATTTTGAACCTTAATGATTCCGGTAGTTTTAACCTTATAGCTTTCCATGTAACACAAAAGGTAGGTGTTGTGTGGATGTGGTGCTAATCTGTATCACCACGATGGTTAGATTTTCATGCTTCAATGCTCACATTGGAAGCCAGAAACCAATGGTAAGTCCGAGATTTGCTTCTGGTTTTTGAAAACTTCAGTTAAATTTGGGTTGTATACTGTAGTGTTTCCTGACTCAAGTATCCGCTTGGCCATCAGAAAACTGTTCAGCCGTCTGTTGATGTGATGCATACGACTTTAGAAGATTTTTCTCAAGTTCAACCCCCTAAGGAGTCGATTAAAGCTACAAACATGGAGCAATTCTTGCCAGAGGTGGAAACGACTGCTGCGATTCATGACTATGCCAAACCTGTAACAGATTCTTCTTCTCCTTACCGTAGCTGGAAGTCATTTGAAATAAGAGACAAAACCCATCTTGATAGCAGTTCCAGGGCCCTTCAGAATCCGCACTATTTTAAGAAGAGTCTGTCCCTTGGAAGTGAACTTTTTCTGGAAGGAAGAGTTCCTCGACAAATTGATACGGATGACGAGACTAATCAAGGGTTTTCTTATGATTCCCACGAGCATGGGTTGGTTGAAGATGACAGAAAACCTACAGTAGAGAGCCAGAATGCTCCATGCTCAGAATCTGTTCATGTAAGCTCTAACCATGCCAATATTGAACCGGTTTTCTCTATAGGAGACCTTCAGCTTTCAGAGAAGGATGGCCACGATTTCTGTAATTTACCTTTGCATCATGAGCGTGCCAATGACTCTGGTTACTACACACCCAATAATGCACCTGGGATTGTAAAATCATGTTCGATGCCAAACATGGCTGCATCGTCACTCATTTCTGGAGGTCATTCTCCTAAATATTTGACAAATCGTTCAAGATCCTCCGAGGATGTACATGTTCTCAGAATGAGACAAAAGGAGATTTTAGTTCATGATGTTGGTACGGAGCTGATGCGACAACAAGAAAGAGATGATGGCATGCATAAATATCATAAAACTAACTTTGAAAGTTACGAGGGTTTTGAAACTTATAGCTGTTCTGCATCAGCAAAAGACTGGATAGTGCCAATTTCGGATGAAGTGAAAATCCTGCAAGAACAACCGCTGGTTCTGAATCAGAATGAATCGACTGGAAAGGATTTGAAGTTTAAGCGAATCGCAGATTGGGTAAATGATCTTCAACACATGAGCCCATCCAAAGAATCCAAAGACACATTTGAATTATCCCATCCCAGTGATCAGGTGAAAGTGGAACCTGCTGTCTTAAATGGTTTGACTGCTACAAAGGTCGATGTTAAGGTAAGTCCTGACATGGAAGCTGCTAAAAGATACATATCTTCTTTGAGTGCCTCAGCAACCACCGCTCAACTTTCAAATCATGGTCTGGTTGTTATACCATTTCTCAGTGCATTTGTCAGCTTGAAGGTGCTTAATCTATCAGGAAATGCAATAGGTACTTATCTTCAACTGCAAATATTTTGGTTCTGTATAAGTAGGCTTTCTCATTATCTGTATGTGTACTTCAGCAAGGATTACTGCTGGTGCTCTTCCTCGAGGACTTCACATGTTGGATCTGTCGAGGAATAATATATCCACCATCGAGGGTTTACGTGAACTTACTCGACTTCGTGTGCTGAATCTAAGCTACAATCGGATATTTAGAATTGGTCATGGTATGTGAAGCAAACTGCAACTTATGAGCTGTTCTAGTTTCTTTGCCATACTCTTTACCTTCCAATATTTTTGATCTTGTAAATCTACTTTCTGTCACATGATTTGTTGTAGGTTTGGCTTCTTGTTCCTCTCTTAAAGAGTTGTATTTGGCTGGAAACAAGATAAGTGAGGTAGAGGGTCTTCATCGTCTCTTAAAGTTGATGGTTTTGGATCTGCGTTTCAACAAAATCTCTACTACCAAATGTCTCGGTCAACTCGCAGCAAACTATAATTCCTTGCAAGCCATCAGCTTGGAAGGTAACCCGGCGCAGAAGAATGTTGGAGATGAATATCTGAAGAAGCATTTGCAAGGCCTTCTTCCGAATTTGGTTTACTTCAATCGGCAGGCTATTAAAGTGAAGGATGCCGCAGAACGATCAGTTAGGCTAGGCATCAGCAGCCATCAACTTGATCGTGTCTATAGATCAGAACACAGAGGTGCAAGGAAGAATAACCATGGTACTGGCCGGGCATCCTCTTCATCTCACAAAAGTCAAGCCACGGCTTCCCCGATGCGATCCAGAAGCAGGCATGGGCACCACCCTCCTCCTAGCGGAAAGAAGGCAACGACCAATCATCAGAAACATTACGTAGATCTCGGTAACAAACTGCTGAATTTTAAATTGGAGGTTTCCATGCGAAGGACCCAAAGCGAGGGAAGTCTGGGGCAACTGTGAAATCAGTTGCTTTGATTGCTTTCTGTTTCTAGACTTTGATATTCGAGTTTTGTTGATTTTAGTAACTGCAATAAATTGTCACTCAAGATACATTAGTCGATTCCTGTTCCTGATAAGTTCTTAAGTTCCTGCTTTCTCTCTCATTAGTAGCTGAAATAGAAGCTAAAATATCAAAATCCAGTGTCAAAAGGTTCGGTTATGCAGAAGTTCGACTATTAACGCAGATCAGGTATTAACATCGTATGTTTCTCAATGGTCTTTGAACCAAATGACCAGACTGCAGAGGCTGCAGACCCCTACCCTATCCAAAGATGTGGTAATTTGCTCCTTGATTATGCTAAATTACTAAGAATGTCAGAACTATGTCGATCCGAGACAAATGCAATAACCAAAAATAACTGCACGATTTTAAAGGAGAAAAAACCGGTATTACTACGATATCGTTAACATGATGTGCCAAGGCTTATTATTAAGGAACAACGAAAGAAACCCAGTACAGCAAACTACATACATTGAATGGTTAATTGTCGAAACTCGAAACAAGGCAATTAACAGTAAGTACAGGGAAACACCATGAGCCCTATTACTATCCATCTATACAAAGCATAAAGTTCATCACCACGCAACATTTTCACGCTTCTTTGCCAGCACAAAGTCTTCAAATATGGGATTGCTTTCCATCCTTTGCTGCAATATTAGTGCAGGGGACCATATCGGTAATCAATCATCCGCATCCCGTTATTCAAAATAAAAACCAACACTTGATCAGCAAAGGAGTTCACACCGGGTTAGAGACAAACCATACGTTTGAAAAAAATGCATTAAATACTACATGATCAATAAAGATTTTTAAACTACGAACGAAGGGTCCAACTCCATTCTCTGCTCCCCTAAAATGGGTCTCAAACAGATTAAAGCTTGGAGCCATATCAAATTACCTGAATAAGTAGGCACTCCGCACTCGTCATTGCTCTGAGTCATATTAAGCATCTGCTAACAAGAAATATTAACAGGGTGATGCTAGTAAAAAGCATAATTGTTTAAACTACAAATTATACTTAGGCCTTACATGTTTCTGAAGCCCTAGAAGAAATCACAATCATAACACGAAGCACATCATGTAAGGCCTGAATCCTAAAGTATTATGTTCTCACTTCATACAGTGAATAGCATGGGTCAGCTCGAAGATGCAATACAGACAAACATTTCACATCTCCAATGCCGTTGGCCATTTCGTCAGTTAATTCCAAAGGTCCAAATTATGATTTCTTGGCTAGTATGGTGCACCGGTCTTATCCATTCAATGGTTCAATAATATTTGATCATTTTCATCATCTTTTTCCAGCCAATACCCCAACAACCTAAGCAAAACCTCAATTCGGGCTGCTAATTCTTAGTTATTACTCCTCATAAATCATAATTAAGACATAAACTAAATAAGTTACTACAAATTAAACCAGTTGATTACCATCAAACGAAAACAAAATCAATTACAAATTCGGAAACCTAAACCTGTATGGCCTCCCTCCACATCATGATACTCTGGTACCTCTTCCGGTACAGGATGCAGCTCCACATCTTCTCCAACAATGCTCTTCTTCATCACCTTCTCTTCCTCCGGGCACCGCACCACCACCACCGGACAAATGCAGTGGTGGACGCAATAATCACTAACGCTTCCTAGGCTTCCTTTGTTGGGTCCCCTAGCGGCTCCAAACCCTCTGCTCCCCATGATCACCGCACTTAGCCCCAATCTCTCCACTTCCAAACACAATCTCTCCTTCATGTCATGGTCTTTCACTATGTGGATTTTAAACGGAATCTGAGCATCCACTAACAGCTGCGCCAGAGTATTAACCTTCGTCGTCGTGAAAACGTCAAAATCGTTCTCGAGTTTCTGCTGCGACTCCTCGTCGGAGTTTTCGCCGCTGATGGCAGTGGCGCTCTCGTGATTGTTAGTGGAGTTAGGGTTGATTTGGAGTTTGATGGAGCCCCAGTCGGCTCCGTAAAGGAAGGATGTCGGACGGACGTGGAGGAGGATGACGGCGTCTCCGGGACGAAGGTAGTTCTGAACGGCCCATCGGACGGCGTAAGAACTCTCGTCGCTTAAGTCGACTGCTATGGCAATGCGGCGCTGGGCACCGGTGACTGGGGTGGTGACGGTGGTCAAAGGGACACGTGGAGTTGTGGGTTGAATTCGGAGCGGAGCCAAGGACGGGATCTGGAGGTCCGGTTCCGATTGACGGTAGTGGAGTTGTGGATTCATTGGAAGATAAAACTTTTGGAAAACTGAAGAAATTGTTGACCAAAATCAGAGAAATTTCGGTGAGCTCTAAAAATGCAGACACGAGTAATGCGCTTCTTATGTTCTGTAAACTATGTTCATACGCCAACCCTTTTTTTTCCTTTGCTACTATGCTTCTCCCAAACTACGTTTTTTTTAAGATAAAGGTAAAAATACTCTTTACGTCCCCTCAATTTCAAATTTAAATAAATTAATCCTCCTAATAAAATACGAATATCAAAAGTAACTCTATCAGAGTACCTCTTAAATATTGTTAGATGACATGTATTATTCAATGATCTTATATGTATTTAAGTCGCACTTTATTTTGTAAACTTAATATTTGTACTTATTATATTACGGGAGTTCATAAAGCTTATGTTTTATTTGGTTTATGATGATGTTATCATATTTGTGTAAATAGTTTAAAAAATGATTAGTCTAGGAATTTTCTATAACATACAAGAAGGACCACATTAGAATGTTATAAGTTGTGTTTGTTGATGTTGATTGTCCTAACAATTTAGTTAATGAGAGGTTGACGATAATGTATTGTGTGTACCTTAAAAATTGTTTAGTGGCCTGGAGTTCAAAGAAACGAAATATAAATTATCAGTCAACTACATAGGCAAAGTATCACAGATCACAAATACAGTGACTGAGGTGATCTGGGACGGGTTGAGGCTCTTATGAGTGATATGGGAGCACGGACTATATTGTACCAACGATGTGATTCGATAACATCAATGGTATTGTAATGAATGTGAACTCTAATTTTCATGTTAAGTCCAAACATGTGGAGTTACACGTTCATTTTGTTCATGAAAAGATGATTGAGAAGAAAATTCAAGTCAGTTATGTTCCTTTCCGAACATGAAGCAGCTAATGATCTTACTAGGATGTTGACTAAGGCGAGCTTTCATTTGTTTCGCTTAAAACTGGTTGTCTCTATTGAGGGAAACAAGATTTTGGGAGAGCTGGGTGATTGCTGTAACAAAAAGCTATGGCTGAAGTTAATGGTTAAGAGTGGTGTTGATTGTTCTGCTTGGTTGTTGATGTTCAAGGGGCAGGGAGAATAATGTTTGTCAAGGCAGTTGGGGTTATTACTTGGTCACTATTTTTTATGAACTTTAGAGCTATAAAAAGGCATTTTGTGTGCTGGCCCAGATCACTTAATTTCTGATGGCCTATTGAAAACTTCCTAAATTCATAATTCCAGATTTATCTTGTTTCAGTACTTGATGTTCTATGTCCAGCGGTTACTGTTGACGGTGGTTCACCTGTTCTCGACGGCTCTCTGAGTCCATAACTCGATTTTGAGAACAATCAGTGCTCGATTTGGATTGGCGATATCTTGAATCTGCAACAACATGGGGCATCAACTGATTGAAGGCACCGATCTCCTCCAACTCCTGGACAGAAGATTGAATGGAATTGTTGATTTAGAAGAGCTCTCTGGACTTCGTAAAAGTAGCTTGTTGGCGTATACAAGATGATGAAATCCAAAGGCCATCAGTTGGGATCCTGGAAGGAAATTTGGATGTAAGGCTGCCTCCAATTCCACGATCTCTACAGGAAATTAGTAATGAGGAGGAGCACATATTTATGCTTACCGACTCAACCATAAGTGTTTAGCTTTTGCTGCTCCAAGTAAGAGCCTTGCATGAGTCCTCAGGCATGGAAAGAATATACTGAAACTTCATGTCTAAATTTAAATCCATAGCTTATGGTTGAGACGATCAAACACGATAATAATTAGACGATGAGATAGATAAATTTCTTTGTTCTTCATATATTTTATATGAAATCGAATTGCTGGCTGGCATAGATCTAGGAAGAAAAGTCATGGGCGGTAGCTTGATTTGGTTTAATGTGGGACAAGAGAGGGATAAATACAAGTCAAAGACGTTGGTTAATCCACCAATTAACTTATATTAGACTTTAAGCACTTAATTATCTTTTGTTGTGGTGGGTGGGTAATATTTATTGCTAATGCAATCAAGATCTCGTGCTCAATGACCTACTTTCTTTAAAATTATTTCGTATTCAAATTTAATAATTTTAATACACGATGATGTGATTGAAGTATAGTCTATATATTAAAATTAAGAATATTAAAATAATTAAACTTAACTAAAAACTGTTTACTCTGTAAAATAGAATATTAATAGTAAATAGAACAATGTGTACATGTCAAATACTACCTTTTTTCGAAAATAGTCAGTTAACATATTAACAATATTTAGTTATTTTTTTAAAAAAAATCGATAATCAACGAATTTTATTAAAAATATTAGGTTTAGTATAAAAAAATATTCAAACTATACCATTTTTTCATTTATGTATTTAAACTTTTTTCAGATCAAGTATTTAACGTTATTATTTTAAGTGTCTTGGTCGTACATGATATTAAAACAGATTGTTAAGTGACACGTGTCGTATTCGGATAATTTTGAATTTTTTTAAAATAAAAAATTTAAAATATTATTATATTGAAAAATCTAATTTCTCTAAAATTTAAAAACTTTAAATCCCTAAAAATTCCTAAAATCAATCATAAAATCCCTAATCCTAATCTTACCATCTCCCTTGCCGGCTACGACTATCGTCATCGCAACCGCCTTTTTCATCTCTCTTATCGATCGTCGTCGTCTTTTTCGTCGAGATGGCTGTCAGGACCGTCGTGTGTCGCAATTTGTAGTCGTTTGGTTTGTCAGGTTTACCATCGGGTGGGGGTTTTGGGTGGTTGTTCGACGGGAGGAGGCACGGTCGAGGACAAGTTCGATCGACAATAACAACGGCAAAAGCGATGACCAACATGAATATATGGATCGAGATTAGGGTTTTCAAAGTTTTAAAAAATTTTGACTTTCTTAAATAAAATATATTTTAAAGTTTTTTATTTTAAATAAAAATTTCAAATTTATATAAATGTCACACATGACACTTAATGGAATACTTTAATTATCGTTACGATCAAAATACTTAAAATAATAACATTTATAACATTAGATATTTGGATTGACCGAAATAAATTTAGACAACTAAATGAGAAAATTTGTATAATTTAGGCACTTTTTATGTATTAAGCCAAAATATTATATTTAATAACTATCCTATTATTAATACGTTTAATAAACTAATAATTAAATTCAATAATTTAATTTAATTTCTTGAACAATTGATGGCATATACAATTTAGTTTAAGGTAGATAGAGGGTTTAGTGGATAGTTCTACTGTAAGATAACCTTAATATATATCTAAGGAAATGTCCTATAGGAAATGTTAATATTTTTTTAATATTTTTGATAAAACACTATCTAAAACGTTATTTTTTTTACCTGAAATATTAATTTCGCTAACTAATTTCCGGTAGAACCTAATATTAACATTTTCGATAGAAAAAAAATATTTTAGATAGCGCTTTACCAAAAATATTAAACATTTTAAGTAGCGCATATTATTAATATTTTTAATAAAAAATAATATTTTAAACAATACTTTACCAAAAATATTAAAATATTATTAACAACATACTTCTTTAATAATATACATCGATTTAGCTTTGAACGTGTAAATCCAACAGCAGTCAATTTGACTAATGAACAGTATTTGCAACTTGGATGATGGCTGTCCAATCATTTCAAATTTGACTTTTCTCCTCTTTCATACTTGCCAAAGATGGTGGATATGGAACTAAAAAAAAAGTATCCAAACATAAGTTAAATTATCTATGGAAAATTTTACTTTAACGTTTTAAATTTAAATATCTAATAATTTTTATATTTTAAAGTTTAATAATATAATTTTTCTAGATATTTATACTAATTTCGAAGAGTCGATGATGACTGATAGCTGTGCTCGAAAAGGATTGCTCTTTGGTTTCCAGGTAACCAAAATGCTCATGTTCTGTAAGGAGATAAAACTGCCCCATTTAAGCCGTCACTTCCGCAAACATGTTTTGCTGCAGCAAATCCTTGACCTGTTCTTCCTCGTCTTACATTTTAACCAGTTTTTTTATTGTCCTTTAAAAATATCTGTGCTGTTTCCTCTCTGCCAGAAATCCACTTACAGCCACCGACAACATGAGGAATCCATGGCTGAAACTTTCCGTACTACTCTTTACATGGTTTTCTCTCAATAGCCAACTCTCCTTCGGGGAAGATACCATCTCAGCAAATCAATCTCTGTCCGGTAACCAGACCATTATTTCATCGGGCGGACACTTCGTGTTGGGTTTCTTCACACCAGGTAAATCTTCCAACTATTACATAGGCATATGGTACCAAAAGGTGTCTCAACAGACCCCAGTTTGGGTAGCAAACAGAGAGACACCGGTCCGGGATATCTTCTCTTCAGAACTAAAAATATCTGATGGGAATTTAGCTTTGTATAACGAGTCTCAAGTGCCGATTTGGTCCACGAATATTAGCTCGATCAGGTCGAGCTCTGTAGTGGCAGTTCTTGAAGATAGTGGGAATCTTGTTTTACGAGATGGTCCCAATACATCGGCACCGTTGTGGCAAAGTTTGGATCATCCGTCACACACATGGCTTCCTGGTGGTAAAGTTAGCTTAAACAAACGAACCAATCAAAGCCAGCTTCTTACTTCATGGAAGAATTCAGAAGATCCTGCGCCGGGTCTCTTTTCTCTCGAGCTAGATCCCGCGGGAACCAATTCATATATCATCCTTTGGAATCGAACCAGGCAGTACTGGACGAGTGGACCTTGGGATCCACAGTCGAGGATTTTCAGCTTAGTTCCGGAAATGAGATTGAATTACATCTACAACTTCAGCTTTTATTCGGACGACAATCAGAGTTATTTTACTTATTCGCTTTATAATCCCGAGACCATATCTCGATTCATTATGGATTATTCGGGGCAGATTAAGCAACTGTCGTGGTTGGAAAGTAGCCACCAGTGGAACTTGTTTTGGTCACAGCCGAGACAACAATGCCAGGTTTATGCTTTTTGTGGCGCTTTCGGCAGCTGCACTGAGGGAGGTCTACCTTTCTGTAGTTGTTTGAGAGGTTTCTTTCCGAAATCGGAAGTCAATTGGAAGCTGAGCGATTTTTCTGATGGATGTGAAAGGACGACTAGGCTGCAATGTGAGGAAGATCCCGGCCTTTCTACCGGAAAGACCGATAAATTCCAGGAAAGCCCCAATGTAAAGTTGCCTCAAAATGCTCGGTCTATGAGCGTTGGGAGCATGTCGGAATGCGAATCGACTTGCCTTGCATATTGCAATTGCACTGCTTATTCTTATGATATTGATGGCTGTAGAATTTGGATGACAGAGCTCTTTGATCTGCAACAATATTCGGGAGATGCTAGCGATGGCAAAACAATATACATCCGGTTAGCGGCATCCGAGTTTCCAAGTTCCAGCAACAATAATGGGATAATTATTGGAGTTGTTGCAGGGTCAGCCGGTTTAATCCTATGCCTTTTAGTATTTGCAGTCTTTAGATGGAGGAGGCAGAGAGTGATAAATCCAAAAGTCGAAGGTTCACTTCTAGCTTTTGGATATAGGGATTTACAGAGTGCAACGAAGAATTTTTCTGAAAAGCTCGGAGCAGGAGGATTCGGTTCTGTTTTCAAAGGAACGTTGCCTGACTCGAGTATCATAGCTGTGAAGCAGCTTGAGAGCATCAGTCAGGGAGAGAAGCAATTTCGCTCGGAGGTCAGCACGATCGGGACGGTTCAACATGTTAATCTAGTGCGGCTTCGTGGTTTCTGCTCTGAAGGTACACGGAAGTTGTTGGTATATGATTACATGCCAAATGGTTCTTTGGATGCCCATCTTTTTCAAGAAGAGAATTCTAAAGCTCTAGCTTGGAAAACAAGGTACCAGATTGCACTCGGTACGGCTAGAGGCTTAACTTATCTTCACGAAAAATGCAGAGATTGTATTATTCACTGCGACATCAAGCCGGAGAACATTCTTTTAGATGCCGAATTCTGTTCCAAAGTCGCAGATTTTGGCCTGTCAAAGCTTATTGGACGGGACTTCAGCAGGGTCCTGACAACTATGAGAGGGACACGGGGCTATCTTGCACCAGAGTGGATTTCAGGAGTAGCTGTTACTGCTAAAGCCGATGTCTACAGCTACGGAATGATGCTGTTTGAGATTGTGTCGGGAAGGAGAAACTCTGAACAATGTGAAGAAGGAAAGGTTAGATTCTTTCCGACTTTGGTAGCTCGCGTAGTAACCCAAGATGGTGATGTCCTTAGCCTATTAGACCCCCAATTGAACGGAGATACTCCTGTGGAGGAGGTATCAAGAATATGTAAAGTGGCTTGTTGGTGTATCCAAGATGATGAAACTCACAGGCCATCAATGGGTCAAGTGGTTCAGATCCTAGAGGGTGTTTTGGATGTGAATGTGCCTCCGGTTCCAAGGTCTCTGAACATGTACGCACACAACTCGGAGCATATAATCTTCTTCACAGAGTCATCTTCAAGCCAGAGTCCTCTGACACGGAGTTACAATTCAAATGCGTCTTCTCAGGCTAAGAGCAACACATCATCGATGAGTTCATGAATCTCGAACCGCATAGTCTTCAAAATAAGTTAAGGTAGTAAGGTTTCATCATGTTAATATATAAAATTTCAGAGCTGTTTTTATATCAGTTTCTTGATACGCAAGCCACTGTTTATTAATAGCTGCTTTGTTTATGGAGGTTGGAGCATTGTGCTTGCATAAGTTGAGCGAAGCATAGCTTCCTAGGATGTGATAAATGTAATTTAGAATGGATTGAAACACCATTGAATCTTCAATGGCTCTGTTACATACAAATTCTGGTACCATTTTTAGAGTAAATATTATATATTTTAATCAAAATAATACAAGTTATCAAAACCATGTTAATTATAAACAAGAAAATTATTCCACTGTTGGAGTTTGGTGCATCACTGGCCTTATCATTGTTTAAGTTCAGATGAGCTCTTGCTTTGCAATGTCCTCCAAGAAAAATGAACAGCACAAACTTGTTATACGATTGGCATATGCCAATCAACATCAATTGATAAATGGCTATTGAAACTAAAGATGGAAATAACTGGGCGACACTCTGTCATGGTGTTGAAGAAAAGGGGGAAAGATAAGTGATTCCTGGGACTAATTTAGGGATTGAATGGATAGGAAGGGAAAGTGCCATGAAGACAGTGGACCATTCGGGGTGGACTAATGTTGAGTTTGGGCTTCGAACTATAGATGGCCATCAGACTAAGGGAGAAGATTTCCTGGCGGGTCACTGTAACACGGGCAAGGGGACTGCAGTCCAAGCTGAGGAGACCAACTGCAAGAGTAGGCCTGATGCTGAACAGCCCAATACCTGCTGAAAACAAGGAAGCAACGGTTTTGTTAGTGCTGCCAGCTGTATAGAATAGTTTCTGTTTAAATTTTTGTACTGAGCATATTAGACAAATGGTGTAAAGGATGAAATCATTCTGGCAATTTTAATGAAAAATGTTTCTGTTCTCTGAAATCTTTTCTTCAACTTCTTAAATCTCTTAAAATTCTAAGTAAATCCTTTACGAGCTGTGATAATTGGTAATCAGAGCCTGGTCTAAAGATCCAACGCCAAGTTGGGTAAGACAAAGAATAATCAACAAACGGGTGAGACGACTGAAAAAAAAATTGCATCGAGCAATTAGGAGGAAACAGGGAATGAAACGCAGATTCCGAAATGGTGGGAGGAACAGAGAGGTAGATGGGAGAACATAATAAAAAGCTTGGAAGATAGAATGGACGAAACTCAGGACTACTTGCGCAAATTTCTCAGCTGTTTTTCTAAGGTTGGTGAAGAATATGAACAACCAACTCCCTAGAGGCATGACTAGATAACATATAAACCTAGGCAGAAACAGGATGGAAAGCAACTTATACAAGTAACAGTATTAGGTGAGCATGAAAAATACTCCTTTAATCCTGAAGAACCCGGGATACTAGCATCCAAACCACCCACACCACAACTGCAAAATCAAAAGCTTGTTATAGGAGGAAGTAATCATCAATCAGAGAGCACTTCCTTATCTAAAGATCCCTACTTGTATGAGAAAAGTGTGCAGAATCTAACACATACACCAAGACCTAAAATTGAGCTACCATTGTTTGATGGGGATAATTCAAGAAGCTGGGTAAAAGAATATCAGAAATACTTTTCTATTTTCTCAACTCCTGAAGAGTAGAAAATGGAAATATTTGCCATGTACTTGACTGGTAAGGCTGAGAGAATTGGTATGATGAATACATTATGCAGAAAGAACAGGCGACTTGATAGGAATTCATGATAGATTTGTGCCATAGGTTTTGTGACAAGGAAAGTTTGAAGAGCTTAAGTCGTTTATGTTGCAACATAATCCATATTTAGGGGAGGATTACTTTGTATCCATGTTTCTGAGTGGATTAAAGGAGGAAATTAAGCACAGAATAAGGATGCATGAGCCTAAAAACTTGGATGAGGCTTACAGAAAGATAAGACTGTGTTAATTGGCTTTGGAAATTGAAAATAAAAGAAAATCACCCTCCATTAAGCACAATTACTCAGGCACATACACCCAACCTCATAAATTTTCCAGTGCCACTACCACTCCAAAACCTGCTGTGAACTCCCTAAACAGACAAGCACTGATTGATTATAAGAGATTTACTCATGGACATCAATGCAAAATCAAGCAACTTAATATGATGGAGGAAGAATAGGAGAATCTAGAAAGTGAGGAAGAGGAGAGTAAAAACAAAGAAATTAAAGTTAAGAAAGGACCCTAGCTATATCAATACATGCTTTTACATGCAGTGTGGGACACAACACCTGGAGGCTTCAAGGAGTCATCAAAGGAAAATCCTTGAACATTTTGGTGGATAGTGGAAGTACACATAACTTCATTATTCCTAGATGGGCTAAGGAAGGGATAGAAGTGGAACAAACCCACCACTTGGAAGGATTTTTCGATGTAAGCATTCCCCAGATGCCACGATTTCTACAGGAAATTGGTAATAACCGGATCACATATTTTTCTTCACCCACATAACCACAAGCGTCAGTTCAAAGGCACATGCCAAGTTTTAGCCGTTGCTACTCCAACTTATAGCCTTTCACCTCGGAATGAGCTCTTGAGCCATAGAAAGAATATGCTAAAATCACATTTAGCAATAAATAGCTTATGTCTACTTTAATCAATTTACAATGTACACGCATTCCACAAATGTAGCTGTCGAACCTAAGATCTCTAAGAATAACAAAATTTTCACTACTACTGACATCAAATACTTGATTTCATTAATAAAAAATTTTCAAATTACATCAAAGTTAAAGGTTAAAAAATTATATGCTATGTTTCAGACTTACATGTTAATGAAGTTGTATCTTTAAGTTATTAAAATCACATCAAAAACTTTTAAAATTATTTTAAAGTTTATTAGAACTACTGTTACCTTGCAAATTCAAAGATTTAATACCATCATATAATAAGAAAACGAATCTCACAAGCACACAAGGTAAAAATATTATACTAAATCAATTAAAGAAATGTTGACTGAGGGTATGATCAGTATTGTAAACCAGATATCGAAGGGTTTATTAATGAATTTTATTTGGACCAACAACCGGTTGGTTTAGTGGAATGAGACACTAGGTCCCTTAAGCAAGGTCAGGGGTTCGAATCCTAACATTTGCAAATGGAGCAAACTGGATTGGGAGGGTCAACCTCGCCTCTGCGGTACCTGATCTGGATTAGTCGATCAATAGATCGGATACCAGTGATTAATTAAAAAATAAATTTTATTTGGGGTTTTAGTGGTTTTCGTGCTATACTTTGAAAAATTCATGCAACGTGAAATTGAATCGATAACCACTTATGACTCAAAGAGAAGGATAAAATTGAAGAAAATTCTATAACGTTTGACGAACACCAATGAGCACTAGTTAAAAATCTATAGGTAAATTAATTAAATTAAAATATTAATTACATTATTTTTCATAATTGTCCCCTAAAGTATGTCATTACTATTAATTAAAAAAGTTTGGCCCATTCATATGGACCCGGACCACAACTGACGTACCAGTATGGAATTTTTGAGTCTTTAGACTAGGCTCGAAATTGGGGTGAATCCACTGGCAAGTAATAGAGCGAAACTGGAACCCCAGACATGTGGCTCAGTGTGGCACCACCGATAGTTACGTGCCTTATCTGCTTGCTGTGGTGGTCCTTATAGCCTTTGGTCATCTCCATGATATTGGGACGGACAAAACTCGGAAACGGTATCACCAACTGTTATGTATGGCTCATAAAAAGTCTCGTTGTGGGGTTACGAATTATGTGGGTTGGGGGTGTGGGGGCGCAGCCCCCGCGGTACGGTACAGGGTTGATTTTGTAATTATGTACCAGGGTTTTCTATTATAAATAGAGATGTAACCTAGACCTAAAATATCATTGAATAAAACTTCTAGCGCCGCCTAGGCACCGAGGACGTAAGCACATTGCCGAACCTCGTAAAATTCTCGTGTTCTTTCGTTTTCTTTACCCGTTTTCGTCAACAATTGGTATCAGATGTCAGGAGCAAAATTCGAAGTCGCGAAATTCGATGGTCAGGGTAACTTCGGATTATGGCAAACGAGGGTGAAGGATCTATTGGCGCAGCAAGGGATCTTGAAGGCTTTGCGACCTACAAAGCCGGCGTCGATGGATGAGGAAGATTGGGAAGAATTGCAGCAGCGAGCGGCAGGAACCATACGATTATGCTTGGCGGACGAGGTCATGTATCACGTCATGCATCTATCGTCTCCAGACGAAATTTGGAGGAAGTTGGAAAGTCAGTTTATGTCCAAATCCTTAACGACAAAACTGTATCTGAAGCAGCGGCTGTATGGGCTGAAGATGCAGGACGATCACGATTTGGCGCAACACGTGAATGTCTTCAATCAAATCGTTTCTGATCTGGCTCGGCTTGATGTGAAAATTGAGGATGAAGACAGAGCGATGATTCTGTTGTGTTCGTTGCCTTCCTCTTACGAACACATGGTGACTACTCTTACATATGGAAAAGAGACTATCAACGTTGAGGAAATTACTGCAGCCTTGTTGGCTCACAACCAGCGGAAGCAGAATGCAGGGGAAAGCTCTCAAGCCGATAGCTTATATGTCAAGGGTAATCGAGATCGTGGACGGAAGCCAGAGAAGGCAGGGTCCGGGAAGCGGAATTCCAGATCCAAATCCAGGGATAAGAAGACGATTCACTGTTACAAGTGCAAAGAGGCGGGACATATGAAGCGAGACTGTCCGAAGTTGAAAAAGCAGACCGATGAGAAGCGTGATGGCTCATCCAAGTCTGTGAACGTGGTCGAGGATGATACTTCTGATTGCAGTGAGGGTGATATGCTTTCTATTTCAACGACACAATTGACGGATGCTTGGATTCTTGATTCTGGATGTTCTTATCACATCACGCCAAATAGGGAATGGTTTTCGACATACAGGCCGGTTAATTCTGGTTCGGTTTATTTGGGTGATGATCGATGTTGCAATATTGTTGGTATTGGTGATGTCAGAATTAAGATGCACGATGGCTCCGTTCGGACGTTGAGTGGTGTTCGACATATCCCAGACTTGAAGAAGAATTTGATTTCCTTGGGCACTTTGCACAAGAATGGTTTTATCCCTAAGGCTGACGAGGATAGGGAAACCATTCGGATTGTTAAAGGAGCATTGATTGTGATGAAAGGCAAGATGACTGCAGGGAATATCTACAGATTGTTAGGGAGTACCGTTGCAGGTGGAGTTCACTCTGTTGAGTCCTGTGATGATACGACAAAATTGTGGCATATGCGCCTTGCTCATCTTAGTGAACGTGGTATGGCAGAATTACACAAGAGAAACTTGTTGCATGGTGTCAAAAGCTGTAAGCTCGATTTTTGCAAGTATTGTGTTCTTGGTAAACAGACTAAAGTCCGTTTCAAGACTGCGAAGCACACAACTCAAGGGATTCTTGATTATGTGCATTCTGATGTATGGGGGCCTTCCACGACATCGTCTTTGGGTGGATCTAGGTACTATGTTACTTTTATTGATGATTTTTCACGGAAAGTTTGGGTGTATTTTTTGAAACAGAAATCTGAAGTTTTTGAGAAGTTCAAGCTGTGGAAAGCTGAGGTAGAAAACCAAACAGGACGAAAAATCAAGTGTTTGCGGTCTGATAATGGTACGGAGTACACAGATTCACAGTTCCTACAATTCTGTAAGGAGCATGGGATTCAGAGGCATTTTACAGTGCGCAAGACACCACAACAGAATGGTGTTGCGGAACGAATGAACAGGTCGTTGAATGAAAGAGCCAGATGTTTGCGGTTGAATGCGGGGCTTCCCAAACACTTCTGGGCTGAGGCTGTTAACATGGCGTGTTACCTTATCAACAGATCGCCAAGGGCATCGCTGGCTGGGAAAGTTGCAGAAGAGGTATGGACTGGTCATGATGTTAGTTTTGATAACTTACGGATTTTTGGTTGTCCTGCTTATGTGCATGTACCTGCTGATGAGAGATCCAAACTTGATGCAAAATCGAAGGAGTGCATTTTTCTGGGTTACAAGAAAGGTGTCAAAGGATTCAAGTTCTGGGATCCAGTTGCGAAGAAAGTTGTGATTAGTAGAGATGTCGTTTTTGATGAACAGTCTATGTTGCAGCAGAAGCAAGACACGACAGTGGTAGATTTCGAGCAGTTTCCAGTTGAGAAACCAGAAACTTCTCAACCGACTTCTGGTGGTTCCACTACGGATGATTTGCAGGATTATAGTCTCGCCAGAGACAGGGTGAGACGGACGAATATAAAGCCTCCGAACAGATTGGGTTTTGAAGACTTGGTATCTTTTGCACTTACTGTTAGCAGTGATGATCCAGTTACTTTTCATGATGCCGTTACTAGTCAGGAAAACGACAAGTGGATGGCAGCCATAGTTGAGGAGATGGAGTCTTTGAATCACAATCGCACATGGGAGTTAGTTCCCCTTCCTGAGGGTAAGAAGCCGATTGGTTGCAAATGGGTGTATAAGAAGAAACCAGCAGTAACAGAAAAAGAGGGGGAGAAGTTCAAGGCTCGTTTGGTAGCGAAGGGTTTTTCACGGCAGAAAGGAGTTGATTATGATGAAATCTTTTCTCCTGTGGTCAGGCACACTTCAATCCGAGCAGTACTTGCATTGGTGGCTAGTTGGGATTTGCATTTAGAGCAGATGGATGTTAAAACTGCTTTTTTGCATGGTGATTTAGAGGAGCAGATCTACATGCGGCAACCTGAAGGTTTCACTCAACCTGGAAACGAGCATTTAGTTTGCAGATTGAAAAAATCTTTGTACGGGTTAAAACAGTCTCCGAGACAGTGGTATAAACGGTTTGACTCCTATATGATCAAGATTGGCTACAACCGATGTGAGTATGATTGTTGTGTCTATGTTAAGAGCCTTGATGATGGTTCTTTTATTTTTCTATTACTGTATGTTGATGATATGTTGATTGCTGCGAAGAACATGGATGATGTTATCGGTTTGAAAACTTTATTGAGTCAGGAATTTGATATGAAAGATTTAGGTGCTGCAAAGAAAATTCTTGGAATGGAAATTTACAGGGACAGAGACTCAAGGAAACTGCGGCTATCTCAACGGGGTTATGTTGAGAAAATGCTAGAAAGGTTTGCGATGAGCAGCGCGAAACCAGTTAGCACTCCATTGGCGAATCACTTTAAGCTCTCATCAGAACAGTGCCCTAAGACAGATAAGGAAGCTGAAAATATGGCAAAGGTTCCGTATTCTAATGCTGTTGGCTGCTTGATGTATGCGATGGTATGTACTCGTCCTGATTTAGCTCATGCTGTTAGTCAAGTTTGTAAGTACATGTCTAAACCTGGTAAGCAACATTGGGATGCAGTCAAGTGGATCTTTCGGTACTTAAAGGGTACTGTGGGACATGGAATTGTTTTTGGGAGTCAGCGGGATAATCCTTTGGTTGTAGGATATGTGGATTCAGATTATGCAGGTGACTTGGATAATAGAAGATCTACGACAGGGTATGTGTTTACTCTTGGTGGAGGGCCTATTTGCTGGAAGTCTACTGTTCAATCTGTCGTGGCACTATCTACAACTGAAGCTGAATACATGGCAGCGGCTGAAGCTGCAAAAGAAGCTTTATGGCTTACTGGTTTAGTGAAGGAGTTGGGTGTTCAACAAGGTGGAGTTCAGTTGCTTTGTGATAATCAAAGTGCTATTCACTTGGCTAAGAATCAGGTGTATCGTGCTAGAACTAAACATATTGATGTAAGGTTCCACAAGATCAGAGAGTTGGTTGCATCTGGAGAGGTTTTGTTTCAGAAGGTACATACTGATGAGAATGCCGCTGATATGTTCACCAAGCCAGTTACGACAGACAAGTTCAAGCATTGCTTGGACTTGTTGAATGTTTCGAGTTGTTAAAGAAGCAAGGTAACCCAACCCACATTGAAGTTTCCAAGGGGCAGGATATTCGCCAAGGTGGAGATTTGTTATGTATGGCTCATAAAAAGTCTCGTTGTGGGGTTACGAATTATGTGGGTTGGGGGTGTGGGGGCGCAGCCCCCGCGGTACGGTACAGGGTTGATTTTGTAATTATGTACCAGGGTTTTCTATTATAAATAGAGATGTAACCTAGACCTAAAATATCATTGAATAAAACTTCTAGCGCCGCCTAGGCACCGAGGACGTAAGCACATTGCCGAACCTCGTAAAATTCTCGTGTTCTTTCGTTTTCTTTACCCGTTTTCGTCAACACCAACTAGTCATGATCATGGCTTCCTTAACTCTCTCCCCTGCTGCTCCTTCGCAGGTAACACATGTTGGTAGTTTAACTTACTCTGTTCGAAACTTTTAGCTGAATTTTGGTGTTTTTATAAACACCTATGTTCAAGCAAGAGTTGCATGTTCCACCCTTCACAAGGATTTATTGTGAAACCAACTAGGATACTTGTGGTGAAAAAGAAGGGAATGAGAATCACATGCCAGGCCACTACTAGTATCTCTCCTGATAGAGTGCCGGACATGGGCAAGAGGCAGCTCATGAATCTGCTTCTGTTGGGAGCTATTTCACTACCCACGGGTTTCATGTTGGTTCCTTACGCAGCCTTCTTTGTCCCACCTGGGTAAACTTCTCTTCCTCCTCCACTCTTCTTGAGGGAATCATAGTGGTAAATGATTCATCTGATTCTTATAACAGGGGCCGAGGTTCCGGTGGTGGTACCATCGCCAAGGATGCAATCGGGAACGATATTATTGCTGCAGAATGGCTTGAAACTCGTGGCTCCGGGGACCGAACCTTGGCTCAAGGATTGAAGGTAAATTATATTATGTTAATCACTGCAACAAAGAAGCTGATTTTCTAAATGTAGTTTTGTTTATTGTTATGAACTTCAGGGAGACACGACTTACCTAGTGGTAGAGAAAGAAGTCTTGCAAATTATGGTATAAATGCTGTGTGCACACACCTCGGCTGTGTTGTTCCACGGAACCAAGCTGAGAGGTCCTACCCCCCGGTGAGTCTGCTTAACTGAAAAAAAAATCTATATTTATATCGAATATAAATATACTAAGCAAAATTTATTGTCTGTGTTGAAACAGTCTTTGACATTGGCTCATGTTGGAGTTGAAGACACAGACGGGAAGGTAGTGTTAGTTCCATGGGTGGAAACTGATTTTAGAACCGGTGAAGCTCCCTGGTGAGCTTAAACATCTACACCAACATTGGCTGTTTGTTTGGATTATGTTTGAGATTATATCCAGCCAGTATGTTTTGCAACGTTGCTAAATATCATGACATAGAGTTATGCCCTGTACAATGCAGATAGTAGGTTGTAATAACACTGCATAAACTAGTATTCTTGTTTTGTTTTTTCTTTCCTCTTTTTTTCATGGATTAGGGTTAAAAGTGATGGTTTCTCCTTTCATCTTCTCCCTTTTGTCAAATGCCATTTCTTTAAATTAAAAACAAAAATCCTTCCTTGGTGTCCGTGGCTGTCAGAAAAGGGAAGCAGCATCCTTTGGAAAGGGATACTGCACAGCGCAAAGCGACAACATTGGACCGAAATCCACTCTCCACTCACTTGAACATGTTGCCTCATATATGTATATTTTAAACATCTTTCTACAATAATAATTCAACTTTTCCAACATAATCTTTTCGTTTGTAATCTCGAAGTAGAATTTCCCCATTAAAAACCTAAATTAAATTGATCCAAACCCTTGTTAATAGTTTTTGATTAATATTTTCTAGGCGACCAACATACTTTTTCCTAGGGATTCCCTTCTTGTTAACTCGTTCTCCAAATCAAGCAAACACTTATTTAAACATATCTCCACTTGAACCAGTCTCGTTTTAAGAGTCCCAAAAGGCATCAGCTTTTAAAATTATTGGTTTCCATCACTCGAGGGAAATGGTGCAACCAATTGAAGGAATAATGATTAAATGGCATGCGAAAGTTGAATAATTTATAAACCGTTCCTTGTTCTCGACCTTGACTGTTACATAATGTCAAACATATCTGAAAACGAGCTGAAATTTACAGTGGACAAGAAGACAAAAACGACACCACAGTAGCCCATTTCTGTTTGTCAGCTAGCTTCGAAAGCTTCACGTGATTCCCAGACATTCTCAGATGACCACAAAAAAAAATAGTATCAATCGCTGGTCGAGGCTACCCGAATAGTAAAACCAAAATTATTGGGGGCAGAATCGGGAACGTAAAAGACGCCCAAAACGGTGACGACGTTGGTGCCGACGACTGAGCCTTCTCGAACTGAAGTGAATCAACGGCTAAGGGCATGTTCTCTTGATCCGGGCTACACTTGGACTCGTGAGGGTGCGCGCTGTACATTATGGCCCTCAGTACGGCGGAAACGGTGGGTATGTAGACCGTTTTGTTGCGCGCGAGGAGCCAAGTCAGTCCCATGAGCTGGCAGTCTCGGTTGAACATCTTGTTGGCTCTCTCGGTCGTGCTCCTGTCTTGCGTTCCGCTCTTGCTGTATCCACCTTTGAGCTGTAAAATATTGCAGAGCAAGAAACAAAGGATTTAGCTGCACGAAAGGGGAAAGGTGTAATTGTTTGCAGTGTAAAGGGATAATAGTCTCATTCATGCACATGACAATGTCGCTTTCATGGGTCTACCAGAATGCCTTTGGTCCCTTCCATAAAATGGCAAAAACTCCACCTTCAAACCACTCCTCCATCATGTGGCCATCACAAATTTGCCCATGGCCGTCTAAAGCTCTCAACTTTGAAGTTTTAGGTTGTGAAAAGTTCATTACAACGTAATTTTTTTTTTGAAAATCATATATCAGACCGAATATCAGTTATTAAATGCATTCTCATGAAACAGAGTGAGTTTTAAGATGATATTCTTAGAACTTATGTGTTCGCATGAACAGATTGTCGGGGTCATTAACTACGCAGCCAATATATGGACCCTGAGAAAATGAAACTTCCATTAATGACTTACCTTTTGAAGAGCACCAAGGCATTTGGAACACCCAGCATAACTAGAGTTCCTGCAATTCTTCTCCAAATTCTTCACGGCAGCCGTGGGTGTCGCGTTCCGGTGCCCGGAAATGTTAAACGCAGCCGGACAACTCAGGGAGCTGATCTGGTGTAGCCTTATCCCACAAAAACACAGAATCGCATCGCAACTCGCGTTCGGTTGAGGAATCCTCACTCGCTTGCTTAACAATGCGTTCTGTAACGAGTTCACACACTTTTGTGAATCGTCTGGCCTCATAGGCTGGTCTGGTAGTTCAGATTCCGTCGGAGCAGGTGCCGAGACCTGCAAAGCATATCTAGCGTGAGCTGCAAAGAGCCACGCTGCTAAGACGGGACAGCAGCGGCTTCTGTCTAGGTTGTGGCCACAGGCGTCGTTTACACCGCCGAATAGCTCGGCCGACAAGTCAAGCCGGCAAACTTGAGCTTGGGTTTGAGCAGGGAGTGCGGGGACCGTGTTCGGGGATGAGTAGCCTCCGGGAACCGGTTGAGCTAGGAAACCGGCGAGGGAATGATGGAAGATAGCTAAAGAAAAAAGTAATAAAAACGTGGAAATGAGAGAAAAAGAAACCATGGTTCTTTTATCCGATTTGTACGTCTAAATGATGAGGTTTTTGCCCTTTAGATGGTTGTTTTCAAAGGAAAGAGAAGGTGGGGAAGGCAAAAAGCAAAGCAAAGGAGAAGACTTTGGATCTGCTTGAATAATGATGGTGCCCTTTTCACATAGGTAAATGGGAAAGAGATTCAAAAGGAAGTGGTGCTTGGTGCCTTGCCCCGAACCTAAAAGTTTAAAACAATCAGCTGTGAGCCTGTGACTAGAAGAAGCAGCAGCAGGTTATAAAAAACAGAGGAAAAGTGATTGATAGAGAGAGAGCTTCGAAGAAACGGAGATGTGATTGGGCATATCTCTCTCTCTCTCTCTCTCTCTCTCTCTCTCTCTCTCTTTCCGGTGTTTAATCAGGGATTATAGACTAGTAGGAACTATCTTTTGTCGTCAAAAAAATGAAAAATAACAGAGTTATACATAAAAATATATGATAATATCCACACACACACACACACAGAGAGAGAGAGAGAGAGAGAGAGAGAGAGAGAGAGTATTGGCTTGAAGGAGTTGTCTCTAGTATACCATTAGTGACAGATTTGTTAAGTTTTCGAAAGTGTGAATGAAAAAGAAAAAAATCCCAGAAAACAATGGAGATGGAGACAAAATTTCCTGCTACGAAACAAGACCAAATCCCACAAACACCTTTCATCCTGTCAGGCCAAAGCAATATGGATCTTTTGAACTCATTGCATCATTCTACTGAGATTATTAGGCCCTTCATCCTCTGAAAATATTTTCCCAAATTCTTGATATAAAATGGATACATGTAATGCCACTCATTTCATGAATGCTTGAGAAGCTGCATTACCCCATTGAACTCTTTGCCATGGAGACATTGATAGCGATTGCTAGCATCCTCAACTTGATGCACCTAAAAAAGACATCCTTGCAAGGATAATCCAATTTCAAATATTTTCCAATTAAAAAAGTGGTGCAAGTGATCCATTCCTCTAATTATAGACGTTTAACTCTATAATTATCTAAGGATATTCGTGAGTCAGATTAAATCTACTTTATGCATTATATTAACATATTTAATGCTTATATAAATAAATTATATCAAATTTGAAATATGACTTTCGTAATTGATGTAAACTCCATTATATATGGAGTCCCACGGTGGGCAATTCATAATTTGGAGGTCTCCCACGATAGCGCTCTCAACCTGGCGTTGGGGGCAGCCTACTATCCTACCTCCCCTTACCCCATTACATATGAGAATAAGGGTCAGCTAATATTTTTCATTCCATTCATAAGTTCAAATTCATTTCTATACTCTCATAATTATAAAGAAAATATTAGTAGTTGAGAAAATGTCTAAAACTTTTTTATTATTAATCTTTGTTTATCTAGACTCTAATGAATGTTTTATGGAGAATATAATACCTACCGCAAGGGATTAGTTGCCACCAAGTCAAAAAGCAGCATGATTCGCCTTTTTCCTATTTTGAATTTACTGGTCATTGTAACGTTTGGGGCATTATCTTTTTTATATTATTTGTTTAGCAAACACTCGTCACAATTAATATTATCTTAAATTTAAACTAATTGAATGATTTTAATAATAACAAATATTATTTTTTTTAGAAATTTTAGGGTCCGAACAGATACTACACGAATTCATATAACATAAATGAACCTACATTTTTAACGTAAGTTGAATATATCAAAATTTTTGTTCAAGAAAAAGATATAACAAAACTTAATGGAATATGATTAATAAGGTTGGGTTAAAACTATTATTTACATAAGGTTTTACACACACATATATATTATAATATAATAAAATACATCACTAACTGTTAAATTATATTTTTTTGATAAAATTATTATTATTTTCTATTTTTATTTTAATTATTGAATAATAAAAATAACAGTGATATGGATGTATTTTTTTTTATTTTTTATGTCATGGACGATATTATGCCTTGATTGTAACACCCCCAACCCATACCCGACCCGGATATGAGTCAGAGATACTACATTGACTTTAAAACACAACTCTTAATAAATAATAGTAAAATATTTGATCTTATATTAAGAAAATACAATAATATACATACTGTAATATAAGTTTACCAAAATATTCAGAGCATACACAACTTAACCCTTTAATTACATGCCAACTGCTATTTACATAACAAAATGACCTACTGATTAAGTTGCTTCTGATCTGATGGTTGCAGGAGTAATACTGTCAAGCTGCTTCACCTGTCTCGTCTAATTCCTCGGATCCTACGTGTGAAACACTCACACGCTAAGTCATCGACTTAGTGAGGCAATAATAACAAGGCAATGTAATGTAATGAAAATGTCAGGATCATATGAGATGAGATGCAAACATGTACTTAATCAATGTAGTATACTTCATCAATATCCATACCTGTAAGCGTATGACTGTAACATTCATGAATATGTATTAATAAGTTTATTGGCCCATGATAGCATATTGAGAACCTAAGGTATCGGAGTAATGTGAGGTTGTGCACTATGCTGTCACCACAGCTCGTATAAATGCACCGAAGTGCCCCGTAGAATTGCATCGTAGTGCCATATAATGATGTCCATAAGGACCACATAGAATTCCTTAAGAATCATATACATATACTATGGATCAAGTATGTGTCTTTCAAGACTTCACACATGTTCCAAAGGATATACATATGTCCTAAAGAACCGCGTAGAATTGCACCGTAGTGCCATATAATGATGTCCATAAGGACCACATAGAATTCCTTAAGAATCATATACATATACTATGGATCAAGTATGTGTCTTTCAAGACTTCACACATGTTCCAAAGGATATACATATGTCCTAAAGAACCGCGTAGACCCTCTACCCTTGGCATGCCAACTATACCTATAGTTCTCATCTACATAACATGGGCTTTTACATTTTCACGTAGTCTATATCGCGTAGACATGTAATTTCTTACCTTTTCACATAGCTCATAATTTTTCCCACATATTCATATCATATAATGCATTTTCATATGAACTCATGTCATGTCTCATAATACAGAATATGCTCATGTATCAAGATATAAAAATCTAGACTTATCACAAGTCTAGAATGCAGGATATTTCTATAATCATGCTATGCATATGCACTCACCTATACTTCTTTGCCTTTTCCTCGATCGATTCTACTTGTAGATTGTTCCCGAACTCGAGTAGGCTCGGTATCTACATAAACATAATTTTCAAGATGATCATCAGATGTCTATGTCTTGAAATTAAGCTTTAATAACTTACTAATTTAAGGAATTTATAGCTTAGTCTTTCTTTCTTTTCTTTCTTTTTTTTTCTCATGGGGGAATCGGTTCCCCCCTGGGGGTATCGATTCCCCACTAGCATTCTGGAATTCATATTCGTTGAGGGGGTATCGGTTCCCCCCTGGGGGTATCGATTCCCCTAACCCAGAAATCCTATTTTGAGCTCGGAAATCATCCCATTTCAGCTCAAACATACATATTTCACTCTCTTTACTACTCTTAGCTTTCATACACTCACTTTAACTAATTATTATCCATTAAATACCTCTAAAACTTAGAAATCTAATTCTCCATGTAGAATTTAAGAATCTAACCCAAATTCCAATATGTTCTAATTTGAATTCTAACACCTTATACTTCTTAGTTAGCTTCTTGACAAGTCAAAAATCTTATTCAAACATCAAAAACTCATCCATATCAAAATTTCATCTAAAAACTCATTTTCCAAATCTATCTCTAAAACTCTTATCTTGTAGTTTTAATGTCATATAAGCTTTCCTTTAGCTTATATAACATCCAAACTTTCAATTCCAATCTTAAAAAATCAAAGAAACTACCAAGGTTCAGATTTTTACCTTTACTTGCAAGCTTCACGTTGGGAGAAGGAAGAGAAGAAAATAAGGAAGAAGGAAGAAGAAATGAGACAATTCTGGAGCCTAATGCCCACGTGGTTCTAATATAATCCCCAAGTAATATTTAATTATTTCATTTACTCAATTACTCTTTTACCCTCTTAATTCCCCTTCTTTATAATTAAATCCTACACCAAATAATTCAAATAAATCATTACACTCTTCCATCATATTACTTAAATCACCAAATGTTGAAACTTTGCAAATTAATCACTAACCCGGCATGGAGGATGTTACATTGATAGAATAATATCGAAGCAAAATAATATAGTATTAATGGTGGAGTCGGAGAGGGGTCGTTTTATTTCATAGGAGACGGGGGAGAAATAATCAATAGGACATGAAACAGGAAAAATTGGTGAGGAAAGACAACCTAATATACGTCTAAGGAAAGACGTTATCGAAAATATTAATATTTTTTAATAATTCTGATAAAGCGCTACTAAAACATTATTTTTCTACCGAAAATGTTAATATTGAGTATTACCTAAAATGTTATGTTTTTCTACAGGAAATTTAGTAGAGAAATTAACATTTTCAGCAGAAAAACTAATATTTTATGTAACGTTTCACCGGCTAAAAATTTCATTACGTAACGAAATTAATATTTTTTGTAAAAAAAAATAATTTTAAAGTAGCACTTTACTGAAAATATTTAAACAAATATTAATATTTTTAATAATGTATTTTCTTAAGTTATATATTAACCTGACGTATAATATAACTACCCAAAATGAAAAAACAGAAGAGACAGTAAAAAGTCAGAAGGAAGGGTTACCGTGTGGGAAGAATCCTATGGATTTTGACGTCTCCCTGTTGAACTCGTTTTACCCCAACGTTATATGCGTCGCTTGTGCTCACACAACAATGCTCAATACAAACTCATATTGCCAATGCCCCTTCCTCACACCCACTCAAACTCTTCTTCTTACTAATAAATTTAAATTAACTCACATGGATTCTGTCTATTTCTTTTATTACTTTAACCATATTTGTTAAACAAATTATAATTTGTAACATCTTCACCAAAATCTTCCAAGACATACAGTTCCTTGTGGGAAATGGACAGAGCACAAATGTCCAAATAAGTGAGCCTTAATCTTTCTTCCTTTCTTATATTCTCTTCGCATACACTGACAGCTTCAATTTTTTTACAAGAAAAATGACTGTCAATCAATCACAGCAATGCACGATTCAAAGAACATAAGCCATTATGAAGAAGAAAAAGATACTGATCCAAAGTCAAGAACAAACATCCAGACATAATCAATCAATCATAAAGTAATTACAACGAAAAGTTCTCTTATAATTAAAAAAAAAAAAACTAGTGACAGATCTCGTTTCCCTATGCTATAATATGTTTTATCTTTCTAAAACCTTTTCGTCTTTTAGCGTTTATTTTATTCACCATGCATGCACTTCATTTGTTGCCGTTGAAGCTTATAATTTAAACTTACATAGCTGTATTTAAGACCCGGATATGTATATTTTATCCAAGACTAGCAAGTGGGAGATATCTGATTCAGATATATATATATATAGCAGAAGCTTTGGTAAATGAGCTAAAAGGGTGTAACCATGGTGTCGCAAAGTCAGGTCGACGGGCCCAAACATTTTCCCCACCATTACCAGTTTATTCGAAGGTACGGTGTTCGGTTTTTTGCTTAGCCCCACCCTACTGATGCAAAGCCCACTATATCCGAAAGCCTGGTTTATTTTGATTCTACCGTTAGTACAACTTAGGCCTGTAAATAAGACAAAACATATTATAAGCTACTCGAATTTAATCATTTAAATCTCAATCAATATTTGAATTGAATAAACTTGATTCAAATTTTTAATGAGTTAAAAAGAACTTATTGATATCTAACTACAGAAAACAGTAAATTCCAATGCATAATCTGATTTGGTTTTCATTTCACATTCCCAAGCACAGCTTAATCTCTTGGATGGTTATCTTGGATCGCCTTCCTACAAAGGATAGGTTGCAACGATTTGGAATCGAAACTAATGATCAGTGCATTCTCTGTTCTAAAGCAAGGGAATCCAAAGACCACCTCTTTGCTTAATGTAAGACAACTGCTTCAATCTGGAACTCAATTCTTCAGCTCACAGGTATACATAAACCTCCTTTTATTTGGACTAATATGCTAGTTTGGGCATATAGTACATGGAAAGGAAAATCATTGCTTACTAGTATCTTGAACTAGTATCTTGAAGCTTTCTTGGTGCACCCTCAACTATACCATATGGGAAGAAAGGAACTGAAGACTTTTTAGAGGAATCTACATATCCGAGGACGAGATTCTAGACTTAATCAAGCAGATTGTAGGAACTCAACTTAATAATAGGAATGTTAATAGATTAGATAGAACCAACCTATCTCTTTGTAATTACTGGGGTATAGTATGATTTTTGTTGTAATTAAGGTCCCCTTTCTTTTGCTCTTTTGATTGTATTGGTTTTGTAGCAGTTTTATGCTATTCTTTGGGTAATAAACTTTTAAATTATCCAAAAAAAATAATATATTAATTTTTTTTAATTTTTAAATTAAATTATTAATATATTAAATGTTTAATTTTTAAATTAAATTATTAATAATATTTATTTGCATGAATTATAAATCTGTCAGCCAGCCGATCCTGCTGCAACGTGGATTAGAACAGGAGGGAAGCACGTAGCAATACTAAGTCATAAGTTAAAAAAAGATTGCAAACTACTTTAATTATGAATTCAGTAAAGCGTCGGCTCATTTACCAAAATATACCTCTTGCTTTCCTCCAAACTTGTAGCCTGTTTTCCAGATCCCAATAACACAGGTGGTTTGTACTCCCAAAATCCAGCCAGGTTAATATTTTTTAAAGCATAATCCGTGTGCCCACTGCCCATTTTTTTAATCCACCCACCATCATATTATCCTAAAAGTCCCACTCATTGCCCTCATCCATATGTCGTCACCATGGGCATTTAAGTCATATTAATCCAAGTAAGCCCAACCTATCCGCACACCAAAAGAAAACCACGAGCAAATAGCCTGTAGTTTCCTTCTTATCCAGTATCCATCCCTCTTCCCCACTCTATAAATAAAGAAAACCCTTTCAAACCACCCACCACCACCACCACAAAACCAGTGTGTATTTCTCCTATTTCAAGATTCAATATTCTCAAGATGAGTTCAAGTAGCAGCAGAGCGTGGATCGTTGCAGCTAGTATTGGAGCGGTGGAAGCACTGAAACACCAAGGAATCTGCAGATGGAACTATACGTTAAGGTCAGCCATCCAGCATGCCAAGAACCGTGTCAGGTCTGGTTCCCAGGCCAGGAATCTGTCTTCGCAATCCTCGGCTGCAATTTCCAAGGGACTAGGCAGGGACGACAAGTGTAAACAATCGGAAGAGTCTTTGCGGACAGTCATGTACTTGAGCTGTTGGGGTCCCAACTGAGACTTAATTCTTTAGAACAAACTTCCTTCGGGTGAATCAAACACACTGCGCCATGGCTGAGCTTTCCACGGGTGTGTGTGTGTGTGTTAATGATGTATATAGCTCACAAAATGATGTACGAGAGCTACACTTTGTCCATCATCTTATAACTAATGAAAACAAGTTTGAGAATTGACTGATATTCATTCTTGGTGCCTCTTTCAGTTTTGCAGCCTTTCTCTTTTAAGATTTTGAGAAATTTTGTCGACGTGTTTTAATTTTGTGATTTCTCTTTCATTAAATATATTGAATAATTAACACAGATTTCATAAGGTTTTTGCTGGTTTTTATTTTTAATTATTCACTCTAACTTAAGAATATTTTTTGCTTCATCCCCAGTAAGGCAATACTCTCTGAGTCTCTGTCCAGTCTATTCACTGTTAGACAAAAAACCAGTGTGCCCACTGGACCAGTTTTAATCATATGATCACGACTGTATATTATCCTAAATCCCACTTGTTGTCCTCGTCTATTTCTTGTCACCATGTGATTTTAGATGGGCATTTAAGTCATTTTGTTCCAAGTTCATCTAACTCCAAAAACAAAACCATAGTCGAAAAACCACGAGCAAAAGCGCAAATAGCCTCTGGTTTCTGTCTGTCTTCTAATTATTGGCTTTCTCATCCATCTTTTACTCCTTTCATATATATAGAATAGAACCAGCCCTTTCTTCACTTACCTTACCCCATCGATAAAACATCAAAATCCAGTCTCTCTCTCTCTCTCTCTCTCATACAATCTTCTCCTATTCCAAGATTCAATAATCACAAAGTATTTGCAAGCATGAGTTCAAACAGCAGAGCGTGGGTTGCGGCAGCTAGTATTGGAGTTGTAGAAGCATGGAAAGATCAAGGTATCTGCAGATGGAACTATACCCTAAGATCAGCCGTGCAGCATGCCAAGAACCATCTCAGGTCTGCTTCACAGGCCAAGACCCTCTCTTCTCAATCATCGGTTGCAATTTCCAAGGGACTGAGCAGGGATGATCACAAGTCTAGACAATCAGAAGAGTAGTTGAGGAAAGTCATGCACTTGAGCTGTTGGGGTCCCAACTGAGCCTCAACTCTCTTTAGTTCTTTACAACAAACATCAATCTGGTGAATCTTCGGCTCGTGACTCATGAGTGCAAGATTTGGTAATCTCAAACGAGGCTTGAGGACTGAAGGAACAAACACACTGGGGGATGCATGGCTGGGCTTTTCAATTGTATAATATATATAGGTATAGCTTACAAGATGTTGTAGGAGAGGAACTCTCTATCATTGAGCAGCTAATGGAGTCTTACCCTAATTGAGTTATTTGTTTTACCCTAATTTTACTAGAGCCGAAGGAGTCTTGAAATATACTTTATATTTTGATTTTATAAAATTACGTTCGATAAAAGAAAAAAGTGCAGGTGGAAATATATGTTGGATACAATAGATATTGTTTGTGTGTTTGAATTTGATTTATTTGCATGAATTGTTAGTGTGTCAGCCGATGAGGGAAATAGCTTACAAAATACAAATAACAAGGCAAAAGCAGTGTAAATATTTAACTACCAACTCAGCACGTTGCAAATTATTTGCACGTATGCCTCTTGTTTTCGTCCAAACCAGGTGGTTTGGGCTTTTAAGTTCAATTGCGTACATCCCACCTGACCAGAAAAATGGAAAACCATTGTGGAAAAACCACGAGCATTAAGCAAATAGCATGTGGTTTCTTTCTTTCCTTCCCTGATTTTTGGCCTTCTTATCTTTCATTATATAAACAAGATTCCCTTCACTTACCGCATCAACAGAACAAACATCAAAATCCCGTCCATCTTTCTAATACCATATTCTTCAATTTTAGGATTTAAGAATCAAAGTGTAGTTGCAAGATGAGTTCAACAAGCAGAGCATGGATTGTTGCAGCCAGCATGGGAGCTGTGGAGGCTCTGAAAGATCAAGGTATCTGCAGATGGAACTATACCCTAAGGTCAGCCGTCCAGCATGCCAAGAACCATGTCAGGAATCTCTCTTCCCAATCCTCAGCTGCAATTTCAAAAGGACTGTGCAGGAATCTCTCTTCCCAATCCTCAGCTGCAATTTCAAAAGGACTGTGCAGGGATGACAAGTCTAAACAATCAGAAGAGTCATTGAGGAAAGTCATGTACTTGAGCTGTTGGGGTCCAAACTGAGCCATAATTTAGATCAGTTACTTAGAAGCTGGAAGCAAAAGTCCATTGGGTGAATCATTTGACTCATGAGTGGTCACTCAAAACAAGGTTCAAGGACAGAGCGAACACACACAGCCGAGCCTTCCATGGGTGTATTTATGATGTATATAGATTACAAAATGATATAGGAGAGTATTTGTCCATCATCCTATAACTAATGAAATGAATTTTCAGAATTGCTTGCTTCTCATCCCTCGTGCTGCTTTCTCCGGACATCGATATACCTGTTTCAATTTTGATGCTTTTTCCTCAATTTCACAACTTTTTCCTCTTACGATTTTTTAGTCCAGGGAGATCGAAGAATTGAACCAACTTTAGAAATTATTGAGAGATTGAACATGTGTGGTATTGACATGGTGTAGGAAAATTGAATCAAGAACTTGCAAACTGTGCAAGTGTTTAAATGATATTGATATCTTCTGGTTATTAGTTCATCGCCGTTGTGTATTGGAAATTGGAATGGTTATACGTATAGTTATGCCCACAAGGGATAAATTCTGGCTATACGACCATTTTGTATCTTATCTTCTGCTTTTCAATTGATCTAGTGGCAAAATAAGTAATAATCTTGCGAGATATCATATTTCATGTCCAGATTCAGATAATGTAAAAAGCCGTTGCCATACTAGCACCTAGCACTCGACCCGCAAAACCAACTATAATCCAATCAAACTTTTCCTGTTGGCTGCCTCATTTGTTGTTATCGATTTGGTATTTGTAGACTTTTGTGTTCCAAAATTTGGGATGATAACTGTTGCAGAATTGAAGAAAACAGAGGAAAGGAAGTTGAAGCAGAGATGAAAAGCAAGAAATTCTCAAAATTATCTTCATTTAGTTCACGAGGACAGATAAATACTCTTCTCGTACATTTTTTATAAGTTATATACAATCATAACGACAAGAACCCACCCATGGAAAGCTCAGCCATATCCAAGTATGTTTTTTCTCAAAATCGTAGGAGAAAAAAGCTTCAAAATTGAAACAGGTATATCGATATCAGGAGAAAGCAGCACGAAGAATGAGAAGCAAGCAATTCTGAAAACTCATTTTATTAGTTATAGGATTATGGGCAGATACTCTCCTATATCATTTTGTAAGCTATATACATCATAAATACACCCATGGAAAGCTCAGCTGTGTGTGTTCGCTCTGTTCTTGAGCCATGTTTTTAAGTGACCACTCATGAGTCAGATGATTCACCCAATGGACTTTTGCTTCCAGCTTCTAAGTAACTGATCTAAATTATGGCTCAGTTTGGACCCCAACAGCTCAAGTACATGACTTTCCTCAATGACTCTTCTGATTGTTTAGACTTGTCATCCCTGCACAGTCCTTTTGAAATTGCAGCTGAGGATTGGGAAGAGAGATTCCTGGCCTGAGAAGCAGACCTGACATGGTTCTTGGCATGCTGGACGGCTGACCTTAAAGTATAGTTCCATCTGCAGATACCTTGATCTTTCAGAGCCTCCACGGCTCCCATGCTGGCTGCAACAATCCATGCTCTGCTTGTTGAACTCATCTTGCAACTACACTTTGATTCTTAAATCCTGAAATTGAAGAAGATAGTACTTGAAAGATGGACTGGGTTTTGATGTTTGTTTTGCTGATGGGGTAGGTGAAGTGGCTTCTTGTATATATAGGATAGGGTTAGGGAGGGAAAGAAGCCACATGCTATTGCTCGTGGTTTTGAGACGGTGGAAACAGCCAATAGTTTTCTCCTTGTGGGAATACTATTTATGGATTAAACGTCCATAACATGATGACTAGGGCCAAAAAGGGGATTAAGGATTGAATATAAATGATGATTGGGTGAGTGAAAATGGCGGTTTTGGTTAATAATTTCGAGGAAAGCAAGCAGGAGTATCATCATACAGAGATCCAAAGCCATTGGTACTGAGAGAAACCAGAAGGTTAACCAGCCACTGAGAATTGGATTATATCATCTCTCATTTATATAGTATACAATTGAAAAGCCCAGCCATGGATCCCCCACTGTGTTTGTTCGTTCCTTCATTCCTCAACCGTAAAAAACCCGTTGAAAGAGAATTTAATTACGGTGATACAGTAAAATCTAATTGTTTTCTCTTTAAAAAAACAAATGGGAGGAGCGTAGGAGCGTAGCTGATCTAACGGCTAAGATTTAATCAATACACACTAACGTCTACTTTTGGCCAACGGTCATATATTTTCCAAGAAAATAAATTCATCACATATTTCATTTCCCTTTAACCAAAATCATTCAACGATAACCAAAGTTACATTCCTTCAAAGATCCAATTTTGCTGCTCTTCTTTCTCTTTTCATCGATTTTAAGTGTACAAAGATGAGTATACTTCAATACCCAGATTCGTTTAATGTGCCAGAGCTTCTGGTTTGGAACAATGCGGCTTTCGACAATGGGGAGTCCGAAGATGCAAACCCCCTCAAGGATTCTTGGTGTAATCTTGATTCGGAATCGGTGAATCAGTCGCTGGAATCTGATGGAAGTAAAGAAAACCAGAGTCCCCTTTGGGTAAAATCCCCACTTTCTTTCAAATCTACCGCTTCTCTTGTTAAGCCTTGTTCCAAGAATGTTACCAGAAACACCAGAGAGCCATTTTCAGTGCAAACGAAGGGTGGGGTTTGCAAGAAAGAAGACAAGAAGCGTGATGAGAAAAAGATTGATATGGAGATTGAAGAGGTAGAGAAGGAGGTGGGTCGTTTGTCATCGAAACTCGAAGCTCTTCGACTCGAAAAAGCTGAATGCAATGCGAGAAGTATCGCGATGAGAGGAAGAATAGTGCCTGCCAAATTCATGGAGCCAAAACAGAACATCTTGGAGAAGAAGATCGAAGATCCTCTGTTTTCTAAACCGAAATTGAATCGAAGGGGGGTTAGTTTAGGTCCATCAGAGATTTTCTACGCAACAAAATCAAGGCAATTCATGAAGCAGGAATTCACAACTTCTGTACAGTCAATACAGAGTCGCCGGAAATCTTGTTTCTTTAAGCTTCAAGATATTGATGAAGGCAAGGTTACAAGAGAGATAGGCAAGAGCTTGAGTCTTAGCCCTCGGTCGCGTAAAACTGTTTCCAAGGTCATTGCTTCTAAGCCAGCAGCAGCAACGACAGTAGTGGCTAAGAGGAGTATGAAGAAAGAAGAGGCCGTTCTTTCCACAATTCAACCAAAAAGGCTCTTCAAAGATGTAGAGAAACCAGTAACAGCCAAGAAACCATTGAAACCTGGGAGAGTCGTCAGTAGCAGGTACAATCAGATTCCCAGTCAAAGCAATAATAAGCGTGTTTCGAATGAACAGATTGTTGGTTCCTGCAAGAAGGAGAGCAGAGAGAAGAAGAAGTGGGAAATTCCTAGTGAAGTGATGATTCCAGAGGGAGGATCGCAGGAAGAATCGCCTAATTCAATTGATATGATCAATGATCTGCTACCGAAGATTAGGACAGTGAGAGTTTGGGACGAAAGTCCTCGGGATTCAGGGCCAGCCAAAAGAGTGGCTGAATTGATGGGAAGGAAATCGTACTTTAGTATGGAGCAAGAAACAGAGGACTCTGTTTGTCAGGCTCTGAGTTTTGCAGAGGGGGAAGGGGAGGAAGAGTGATTCATTTCATCTTCTTCTTATTCTTTACTTCCGTTTTTTCAGCTGATGAGATTGGGGTTTGAGGATGTAAACCATAACTATTGTTATGGGCTAAAGTTACATTGGCTTTGAATACATCTGTATATGTTACCAATTAAGCTTTTCTATTCTCTTGCTTTTGGGTGAAAGGTTAATATATGTTTTTCTGTTTTTTGACTAACAATAATTTCTTTTGGCTAGGGCTTGTTTTATTTAACAAATTTATGTTCATTTTCTACTCAAACGAGCTTTACTCATGTCTTCTCTTTTCTTCACATTCCCGATAAAAGTTCACTCAATCCCCATGGTATGAATATATTAGCTCATATTTACGTTTTGGAGCTCAAGTGCTGTAGTGTCCTCCGTCAGCCATCCACTTGTGAAGCTTGATGGTCCCTAATCCTATCTCATTGAGCATCTAACTATAAATAAGATAATAGGAGTGCTTAACAATTCCTCAGATTGCACATTACGTGGTAGTGCATGTGTTATGGATTCTCCTCTCATTTTAGTTTTTTTCTCGTTGCAGAATGCAGTGGAAACGGCAAAGAAATGAGATTGGAGTTTTTAATGTTTACAAGATTCCCAGTAGTAATATGTGGCTGGAACCTTGATGTCCTTAGAGCATCGTTGTCGCTAATGATGACACTGCCTGATTTGTTGGCTAGTGTAATGGGAAGTTACAGTTTTGAGGATTCAAAATCTGTTGATGGATTTGGTAATAAATGAACTATACTTTTTGGGTTGAACTTTCTTTTGGATTTCACCTTTTATATGGCAGAAAATGAGATTTGAATCAAGTTATGACAGGCATTAACCATGTACTGATTCTTCCACTAATTCCAAACATAATTTTACTGCAAAAAGTCATGACAGTTACTATATAAGAGCAAGCCAGCTATTTAAAAAGCTCCACAACCATGACAGAACACTTAAAAACGTACGTAAATTAAAACTCAGGTTCATCTGTTTCCTCCTTGTTCTCTTCTCCACCACTGGATTCAGACATAAAATTACCGGAAACGTCGCCCTTGTGTGCTTCTGTTTCTGGCTCTTGTTCATATGCAACCTCTATATCTTCTTCTGTTTCATTTCCATTGGCAGAATTGAGTTCAGCTTTCTTCGGTTCCTTGACATACATGTTCATATTCTGTTTGATCTTGTCTGTTTCTTTAACTTTGACATGGTCTGTGCCCTGTGTACAATTATTGGCTTCTCTATTGACACCTTTGTCTTCTATTGCCACTGCCAGAGAGTTAATATGGTTTCTTTGCATCACAAATCCTCCTTCCACCTGATGGCTTGTCTTGCCGCTCATTTTTCTGTGTTTCACATCTTCAGTACCGTCATAGTTCTGTTGCTTGAAGTAATTAACTTTTCTATCATCCATTTCCTTCCTCCGACCTGGTTCGGTTTTTGTTTCGTCATCAGAAACTGTTCCATCTTCCCGGCTTATTATATCATCTTTATATTCCTTTGACAGTCTTCTGTTTGTCATGTTTTCAATTGCATCTATTCCGGAATTTACTTTCCTCTTTAGGGACCTGTTCCTAGCAAGAGTTCTCCATCTTTTCACCTTTGATCTGCTTAAATGGCCGATTCTCCCTGGTAATCTTGAAATTCTTGAATCGTCATCTGTTTCCCCGTTTTCCCTGCTTTCTTGGTGAGAATCTTTACGTTTTCCAAGCTGCCTTTCTAAGCTGCTTCTCTTTTCTTGTTCATCATCCAAATCATTGATCGTATCAATAGCATCTGCACGATTCTTTTCCTCATCTATTCCAATATTACTTGTATCTTCAGAAACCCCGTTTCTGGTATTTGCTCCCGATTTTTCAAGTTTCTGCAGCTGTCCACCTCTTTTCTCAATTCCATCTCCAACCCCTTCTCTTTTGTCTTCCTCTTGAGAAAAACTGGATTTAGTCTCATTTTCATCCCGACCTTTCGTCAAATTGTCACCATCCTTATTCAAAGATTCATGTACCGGCCCACCTTCCATGTGGCTGAACTCTATCTTTCCGTTTTGTTCCATACTTCCCATAACTGTCATATTTAGTTGCGAATTCAATCGGCCATCGGTACTCACTGACCGAACTCTTAGTCGGGGATTAAGAAGGTGCTTCAATTCCTCAATTTCAGCTTCCTTTTGCTTCAAAGTTGCTGTTAGAGCAATGACCTGAGGGTTTTCATTTCCTGTATTCATGTCTTTATCTCGTAACCGTTTGATCTCGTTCCTTTTCTCCTCCAGTGTAGACTCCATGGCCTTTTGCTCATCCTTAAGCGAATCAATTCTAGATAATGTTTCCATGAGCCTGCCATCAAGCTCCATCTTTTGGTTTCTAAGGTAGTATATCTTTGCATTTGTCTCTTCAGCTTTCCTGTTCATTCCTTTGGCGTATTCTCTTTCCTTCTGTGATAAAAAAAATGAACACGACAATGTCAGCATCTTGAATATGGATGGCAAACGGGCGGGTCGGATGTGAATACCCCTCCCCATTCCCATATTCACCTAATATTTTTTAATCTACCATCCGTTCACCACCCATGATAGGTACAAATTTTCAAATCCACACCCGCCCACGCGAGTACATTTTCAAATACATCCCCACACCCACTACCCACTAGCGACATACCCATCTAGACCCGCCTAACAGCAAACTAATGGGATGTTGGAGTTGGTTCCCAGACAGTTCGTGATGGGGTAGCAACGAATGCTTCAATTTGTCAAATGAGTGGCTCTACGAATGTTATGGAGACAAATTGTAGGGAACATGTAGTCGCAGAACTGGATTGTTGAGTTGATTTCGATGTTAATTCTCATAGTGCGCCTAATATGGGTTTTGAGGGGCTAAAAAACATAGAAACTGTTGTTTTTGATGTTAATGCATATAGTACGGCTAATTTGTGTTTGGATGGGCAGCAATGGCTAAAGAACATGGAAAGTGACGTGGTTAGTAGGATTATGAGTTTAATCAAAGAGCCGAATATTTCCCTAATTAAAGACTAAATATCCTTAATATTTGGTTAAATTATATGTTATGTATTATACAATATTAAAATTTATAAATTAATCTCTAAAATTACATCTAAATTTATAATGGTCCAAAATTTAATAGATATTTAGCTGGCCGGCGAATGTGGGGCGGGCGGATGCGGGCCGGGTAATGTCTCAAACCCATTACCCGCCCACCACCCACGACGGGTACCACTTTATAAATCCACACTCGTCCACTACCCGCTAAAATTATACCCATCCCCGCTCCAATTGGAGCGGATGCGGTACGGAATCCACGAAACTGTACCCGTTTACCATCCCTAATCTTGAACCTCGGCTGTGTTTAAAACCTATGAGGCTTTGTTACCCGGACACGGTGATACATATGCGGGTTTGACATGGATATGCTCAATTCTTTTAAACTTGTTCATATATATGGATTAAAGATCCTAAAAAGTAAACATAGTTTAACATAACAAAGAAAACTTTGCTATAAGCTCGTTTCATTGATTACAAATATTAAATTAATAGCAAAGCACATGGAAAGTTGGAAACAAATGGATTTTGAATTCATAAGCTGAGGCAGGAAGTTGTGAACCCCAGGCGATGACACCGTAAGCTGAGCAAGGCAATCACATGGCTAGACTTGGATCTCACTAAAATTTGAGAAAATGTCAAACCGTCCCAAGAGTCATAGTTATTCAAATTCAACAAGGCATGAGCCTAGTCAATAATATATTGCAAATAGGCTACTCGTTTATCACAAATTAGCTTAATGATTTCACAATGCATAAGACATTGTGTTTGATCACTGAACATTGTAAATCAAGAGAAACCCTCCATGAACAGAGAAAAAGTTACTCTTTTGGGCTTGGATCGTCAAAATAATTTACCAAAAAAAAGGTTAAAAAGTAAGAATAGAATAGAATAGAATGCATGATGTTATTGACTTGTCATCTTGAGAGAGTGGCACGTAAGAGGCAACAATGCATGCATGAAGGAGAGAGAAAAAAAAAAGGAAACCTGCAACAGCATCTGGAGAGAAAGGAGCAGCCGATTCTTGTCCTCGATGACAAGGTTAAAGATGCGCCGTTCCCTGAGCTTGTGCAGCACCAAAACGCCGAGCAGCGCCGCCCCGAACACCAAAAGCAGCATGAAACCATATGGTCTTCCCTTGTGGCCATTTCCATTCCCTTTGCGGGATGTTAATCCTCCCATTGATCTCTCGGAAAAGAAGAAACAATATGAAAGAACCGATCTCTCTTTGATCTCTCTGTTTGTGAAAGACAACAAAGTAAATAAAAAAGAATGCAAATGGAAGTTCAAGTGGAGCGGTGTTAACTTAAGGTTGGGTTGTAGAAGAAAGACAACTGTGTTCAAGGCGCCGATTCTGGAGAGGAAAGCATGCTTTCCGAGTTTCAATGTTAACAATTTAGTATATATATAATATTGAATAAATTATTATAATATTTTAAAAACAATAATATCAAATTTTATACGTAATAATATTATTTAAAAAATAATTTTTATGTGCCAAAAAGTAATTAAGTAATTTTTATAATTTAATAATTAATAAGAGTAATTTATATAATATCATTTTGAATACTATAAAATGATCTCATTGCTATAGTTTAAAAGAAAATATAATTTATCAAACCTTAATTAAAATTTCGTATAAGTAAAATTATTTGAATAATTTGTTAAGTTGAAATTAGTGGATAAAAGACGTTTGGATCACCTGATAATTTTTTAATACGTTCAGATCATATGATAACTTCTGAAAGACGTATGATCACATAGCGACTTCTGCAACATTACCAACTATCTTTACTATTATACATGTATAAATCGACGTGTGGTTCAGACATTTTTTTAAAAATCGTTGTGTGAATCAAACGTCTTTTACCGAGTACTGTAACTAACACCTTAATTGAAGAAATAATTTTCCATATATTTTGTTGGAAAAAAAGGGACAACACATTATTGAAGTATGTAATTTTATCCTAAGGACAAATTTGTTTGAATATAGAGTAAGAAAAAAATACTCATATAAAGTATAATAGAAGTTATTTTCTAAATTAAGATTTTTATTATAGTATTTGATGAAAGTTGTTAGGGCTATACGGTTCTGTCCAAAACCATGTTCATATACGTTACATGTTTGAAAATATCTTCAAATAAGGATGATATTGTCACGTTCAACAAGGACGGATGAGCATCGTTAATGATAAACACCATTAAATTAATTTATAAAATGTTAAATTATAAATTAATAAATGTATAATTATAAATTAATTAAAATTTAAATATAATATTTATACAAATTAGTTTTTATACATCTTATTTTAATTAGCAGTTATCAAGCCCAAAAGGTCCATCCAATACTTTACATGGACCCCCGTCCATTCCCATTATCAAAATCCAAACGAATGCCAAACGATTACCGCTCCAACTAAAGCCCAAAAGATTTCATCAATTAAACCCAAACTATACACACACATGATACTTCAATTGAAATAATTCTTCTATTCTAAAATATTTTATATATAAATTCAGGTGTATGATCCCGGTCGATCTGGATTAGTCAAGGCAAAATCTTGGGAACTGGAAGGGCAACTAAAAAATACTCTGCATCAATTCTCGTATTATAACATTCCTTTTGAATTAATCCCTAAACTTTAAAATATCATATATCAATCCTCAAATTATTAATATCATTTTTATTTCTTTCATTTAATACATCATTCACTCTATTAATTTGTTAAGAACTTAGAAATTGAAATCATGATCTTTAAAGTTATAATCTATTTTTTAAGGTTTTAAGATTTCAACATGTGAATTTCTAAAATATAATCTATTTTTTTTAAAAATTTACTAATTATTTTCTCAAGACTTTCAAAAGTTTATTATTTTCTTAATCAGTAAAATTAATTACATATTAATAATAGAATGATTAAAATAAAAAGGTATTAATAATTTAAAATTTGATATATAACATTTTAAAATTTAAAGATTAATATAAAATTGAGATATATAAAAAACATGATAGTGATTTACCGAAAATATTAAAAAAATAATAATATTTTCGACAACACATTTCCTTAACCGTATATTAAAACTATCATACTCCCAAAACATGACCTAAAAAAAAAAGCAGAGAATACACTACCTTACACGTTCAGATTCGCATAAAATATTTCCCACTTTGTGCAGGCTCCTTACAGTTGCAGCCTATCCCTCTACACACTACAATACAAATGTGCCCACCGTTTTCCCACACTAAATTAGAAAATTCTAAAATACAATATTTTAATATAAGATTTAAAAGAAATAAAAATCGATCACAACAAAATATTTATCAAAAGTATATCTTTTTAAATTGGATATGACAACTTTTTAGATTAAATATAATACAACAGAAAATATTATATTTTTCATAATATTTTCGGTTATAAGTTCTAAACCTCTGTAATATAATTTTTTAGTTATAATTGAAAATATTACAAATTGTATAACTTTTTAAATTGATCATGATAATATTTTAGATTTAAAAAAATCTTAAATTAAATTATCGTATAATAAAATTAACCCACTAAACTAAACTATTAGCTATCCAACTTCAACTCATCCAACCCATGTCCCATGCTCTTTCATTCATATATCTACAAGACACTCGTCGTTATATGATAATCATATTCGATTCGAATTAAATTTTAAATTAAAATAAAATACTTTTAATATTTTTTATTTATAAAATTTAAATTCAAAAGTTTATTTTTAAAAAAGTATATGTATTTTTATCATTCGATCAAACGAAATCATAAAATGAAGAATAAGTTAGTGGCCACTAATCATTCGCCAAAGTACCAATGAAACGTCAAAGAATATTGCACTAGACTAGAAAAAGCCAAGAGTGGTGTGTTTATTTCAAAGTGGTAGGCCAAGTATGAAAGATAAATTTTGAAGTGGTCCTTCCGAGTCAGATATCCAAACCCAAAGCTACCTCAGCTCATTAAACTCGAACCAAATTCTGTAGCTGAGTCGACCTCGGCATCTGTCCATGTGCCAAAAGTCATCCACAAATTTTACTAAAGCTTTCACCTTTTTTCTTTCTTTCTTTCTTTTTCCGTGGCGCCGATTTCGTATGCCTTTGTTGTTCCAAACTGGAAAAAAAAAAGGGTTGCAATCATAGTAATCAACTACATGATAGAAAACATTTAAAGGTTAATCAATTATTTTGACAAATCACATTAGCAATCAACCCAAGTTTTGTTTTGTCGTGAAATGAATAAAGACAGGAAGATAGAAGATGCAGAATATCTGGCCGAGCAGTGGCACAAGACATGTGGAGATTTACAAAGGCCGTGAATTATGCATGGGAGGACATAACTGCTACCAACAC